ATAATAATAACAATAATAATGATACTACTACTACTACTACTACTACTACTACTACTACTACTACTACTACTACTCCTGCTGCTGCTGCTGCTGCTGCTGCTCCTGCTGCTGCTGCTCCTACTACTACTACTACTACTACTACTGCTGCTACTCCTACTACTACTACTACTACTACTACTACTACTAAGAATCGGCTTCCAACAAAGCAGCGGCTTGAACACTTCTCCAGAATGAGTGCACATCTCCCGCATCCGCCTCTTGTGTCTTGTCCGGGGCATATCGCAAGTCACTTACTTGTTGTTGTCGCCATGGCTGGGCATGTTCGTAGCGACGTGCAGCATCCAAAGTTTGTGGTACGTGGTCTAGCAGCTAGCAGCAGTCTTACTCGCTTGTCTTGCGGCTTGGCTGCATCGTCCACAGCATAAAGAACACGATGACGGAGCGTGCCTTCGTGCAGAAACATGTATCGTGCAGTGTCCACAACAGTTCGGCTTCATCTTTCTGGGACCCTGACTGCAAATCCGATGCCTTTTATGATGATGACCTGGGGTGGGTCTGCGTGATTTCTTTTCGAAACTCCGGCAGAAACACGTGGCAAGCGGCCAGCTCTGGCACAGCACGCAACAGTTTGGCCATGCGTGACAGGCGCAGGATCCGCACCTCAGCCGCAAGTAAACCGTGCACGCCTGGGCTAGAAAAAACGAAGGCATGGGCTCCAGGCCAGCCGCAGAATTCGCAGCAAGTCAGTGTTGACAGTGCCTTCCAGGTCCTCTTGTCTTGGCGAGGAAAAAGCTGTGCAAGCACTGCGTTGGCCCAGCCGGATTCAGTCGAGGGCAGAGCCTCACCCTCATGCTTCAATGGGTGTCACCAGCCACGGGTAAGTTTTTCAAGCTTGAACTTTTGTCAGTGCTTCCATGTTGAGCCACTATGTAGCGCGGAGACTGGCACTTTAAATAAAACCCCATATGCTTCAAGTCGGAATAAGGACCATTGTATGGTACGGGACTGGTGCAAGTGGGAATAGATGAATTTCGGTTGACGTAGATTTACATAGACCCCGGCCTTTCGAACTTTCTAAGATCTTCTTTGAAGTCTCGAACTCAAAAATTCAATGAGGTGAGTCGCAAAAAGCATCAAGTCTTCCAGTTTTGGCACATTCAATCTCGCAAACTCTGAACAATCTTTTGATGCCGCTCCAACTCTCGAGCCTGAAACAAAAAAGCGGCGTGATGGAACATCCAACTATTTATGCAATGCTGGAAACATCCATTTAGAACCCTACTGCAGCTCAAACTTCGGAAGGCGTCCTGCTCCCTCAATCCAAGCGCATTGAACACCAGCGGGACAATCCATGTCTCTGCGACCATGAGGACTACCTGTGGACTGACCCCAAGTCTGAAAATTTCCACCTCCACTTCTGCCTCTGCATCGTTGGATAAGGGCCCAGCAAGGAAAAGGTCGAAAAGAAACCAATAGTCTTGCAAGCAATGCCTTCAGCACGGGCACAGTCTGGCAAAATACACAGCCGTGCATTGTCAGAAGATGCTGGCATGGCGCACAAGCCGAACGAAAGACTGAAAGCCGACTGAGGCCTCTTGTGTTGGTTCTACCTTCTGTTGGCTTACTCAGCATGTGGCGCCCTTCGCCGTGTCATTCATGCATGGTGACAGGGTATAGTCCAGGCCTCTTGTGTTGGAAGGCGCAGAACCGAATGAGCAGCTCACCTCACTTCTTTCATGCAAGAAGCCATCATCGTCAGAGTTTATTGCCGGCATGAGGCCGAAAAAGTAGCCGCAGAAGAAGTTCTCCGCGATCTGGTGTAGCACATCAGATGGGGAACAGGGCGCGAGAATGTGGAAGGTTTTGCCCCCACTGCCTGGAACTCAATGGGCGCATTCGTGATGATGGAGAAGGTGTTCAAGTCCGTGTCGATGGCGATCCAGACAGTATTCAAGCACACCACAAACTTGGATGAAAGCTGCTGTCAGATAAAACACAGCGGGGTGAATTGCACTGGTTTACTGTTCTGAGTTTAAATAAGCAATCACATTACATGCAACAGAGCATCCAGAGTTGCGTATTCGAACCTTGGCTAGCAGCACCCAGCTGCACTTCGACCCCACGCAATTGTCCGAGGAATTTCATGCATCCCAGGTGCAGCCAATGCTTGGCGACGAACTGCGCGCAGCCCTCGGTAAACACAGATCACAGGCCGTGTTCACCGAGGTCTGCACATCTGAGCCAGCAAACCGTCTTGTAATAGCGGTCGAAAACATTGTACTGCCTTGAGCCAGGCAAAAGAGCCGGGATGCGCTCCGGCATGTGGTTCACTTCTGCATGCGAGGTGCGGCTTGACTCTCGCTTGGCGTGCCTTTTGCTTCATCGCCTGCACCGCAAAGCCATGACTGGTGCAGCTTGGAAGGTCGTGTCCCGAGCCTCTGCATCCTGAAAGACTCTTTGGGGTTTGGGTTTCGGCTTGGGCTTCGGCGCGGCTAAGGTCTTTTCCCCGTTCGGGTGCGTACTCCTTGCAAGGACGCATCACGAGCTCCGAACTGACGGAAACATGCAGAGCGCAGCTCCTTCGGCCGCGCTGGGCCTGGAACTTCACCGGGTCTGTCTGGACGGCGGTCCTGGCTAAAGCTGATGGAACATGTGCACATCTGTTACAGAGACTGGAAGCAGAAGGACAGCACCAGCAAAAAGGCACAACTCAAGAGCAATCCAAGTGTCGTTTCCACAGGATTTGGCTCCGTTTGGCTCCAAAATTCTCGGACGCGCTTGTGCTTCTTGGCCGAGAAAGCCTGGAAACTACACTGACAAGCAGGTACGGGCGAAGGTGTGCGAAGCAATGTGCACAGGCTCAGGAGGACGCGTTCTCTGAGTTCATTCCAGGACCAACACCTAGCAAGGCGACATACACAGGGTGTTCCCATCCCCGAGGATGCGAATGCTAGACTCTGCTACACCAAAATTCCAAGTTCAAGCCAAGCTTCTCCCGCGTTTCGCTGCAGCATAGACCAGCTCACTGGTCATTGACATGTTCAACGTCGATTCCTCCTCGAAGCTGGCTTATTTCCATCAACCCAAGCGAAGAAACGCCACCGACCCCGGCCGCTACATCCTGCGGCCTTGTCGGCAGGTGCGGTGGCGCTATGCTTCAGCGAGGATCTGGGCTTTTCCTTTGCACAGTTGCCCTCTCATGACCTCACCGCCTCATTGGCACAAGCTGCTACGCCGCCTTGGCGGTCACGTGGCTCACTCCCATGCTCTGGGCACCGCTTTGCGCACCGCTGTGCGCATTGCTGGGCACTGCCCGTGCCTTCGGCTCCTTCCCAGACACAAGTCGATTCGAAAGCACATAGGCTCAGACACTGGCACTGACAAATCAGGGTTTGCCGCACACAGTCGCCGAGATACCGTCTGGGGTATTGCATCGATCGCGCAACGGTCGGACAGCGCAAAACACGAACAACAGCTCTTTGGCAGTTTGGCAGCCACTGTGCTGCTGCAGCAATAGTTGAACGGGTGAATTAACTTCGGCGCCACGTGCCATATCACTTTTTTCTTTGCCCACAAGCAGTATTTTGTGCATGGCCCCTCAGTTCATCAGCGTGTCTTGGGCAAGCATGTCGACTTGGGCTGAAGACATGCAATGGCAAGAAAGGCAGACCCATTTTCAGAAGCGACGCACCCCGTACAACAAAAGCCTGGCATGGGCCCCTCAGCCGAGAGCATTGGCAACGCTGCGCAGCATACTGTGCAACATAGCAACTGGATGCACCGAGCCTCGACCAGCTTCGGCTCCGGCGATGGCGCCTCTACGCATGCGGCTTCCACGGGCGGGAGGCTTGGACGCTTTTGCTCCTGTGACAGGCAAGTATCAAAGAGCACGGTGATCATCTTTCCGATGCGCGCATGCCTTCTCCTCTTTGACGAATTCCGCCATCTGAATCTCGGCGGGTCGGAACAATTATTTCCGGCGCTCGAACATCAACTCACCAGTAGCAGCTGCCGATGCTTGATGAGCGCTGCACGAAGTCCAGATGCAGCGCTTGCTGGATCTTTCCGATCTCGCTCAGAACCATGCGGAAGTCGGCAGACAATGCCTACACGACAGGCCAATCCCGTAAGGCCGCAATGCCTCTGGAGGCCAAATAAAAGCATGGAGAAAGTTGCTGAGACTTTTGGCCAGCGGCAGTTTGGTTTTTCTTGAGTTCACGATGCAGCTCCGCGGTGTCCATGGTGAGAGGCTCCTCCGGACCGTGCACACCGCTCGATGTCCCGACGAGTAAGGGAAGAAATTCGGACCTCGAGCCGTTGCATGAGCTGCCTGTCACGGTCACGGTGCAACTTTCAAAGCGCAGCCCATTGCATCGCTTTCTTCAAAGCCTCGACGTCTCAGTGTTGAAAGCGACCAGGTTGTCGTAGTCCTGCGCTTGGTTGCTGTGTCTTCTTCTGTCTGTTCCGTTTCGCTGTTTTTTATGCTCTTAAACAGATGCAAGCAACCCGTGGCTTGAATTGAACTTGGCAAATGTGCACACTCAGTGATGAGCTCTATAGGGACTCTTGCTCATCCCCCAAGCACTTTTACGCTCTAATCTTCGGGTGATTTCAGTTACGAAGCAAAAGCAAACCACTGAACTTCTGCTCACAGCGATCTCTCCCACAGTTTTTCTGGAGGCTTCTGCGCTCAATTCCACAGGGAGACTGGGCAAATGCTGACGAACACAAGGTGCTCATGTACTATCTCAGTCTTCTCGTACTCACATTCCGCTTGGACTCAGCGCGTCCGGTGCGAAACCCGCCGGTTTGCATACGCCTGCCACGCTCTGGCATTACCAGCGTCCTGGTGCACCTGCACGCCTGACTTTTGAACCTCGGCTCAGCGTGCCAGGTGCAGTCCGAGCATGTCCGAGCCCTTGCTTCCCGGCCTCGTCTGTCGTCTGCTCGATAGACAGCGCCAGCATGTCCTGGAACTTCTGCACCTCGTGGCACGGAGTCTTGAGAGGCTCTGCAGCTCTCCCAAGGCACTAGGCGCGGGACGCCGACGATCAAACTTTCCTTGGGAGGTTCCAACTCGAGCGTGCAAGGAGTCGCAGCTCGGAGGCGATGCGGCCGAAAGTCCGTCTGCTCCTGCTTCTCGAGCAACTTCTGGAGCCGCTCCTCTAGAGTTTCCGAGGCCATGAACTTCCATGTCCCTGTCTTCACTGCTTGGGGCTCCTCTTCTAGATCTGCCCGGACCTGGACCTGAAAGCCGGCCGGGTCTCCGGGTCTCTTTCCCTCCCCTGCCCTGCCCCTGCCTCTTTCATCTGCTGGCCAAGCTTCTCCATTTGTCCTTCCAGTCTCTTGCGGTCCTGACACTGCACCATGGAGCGGCACCGAAGCTACGCTCATCCTCTCACGAGCCTCGACATGGATGTCGTTAACTCGCTGCATCTCCTGTCATGTCAAGAGCGAGTCAACTTTGAGCGACCACATCGCACTGGCCAGGGCCTGCAGGACTGGAGAAAGATCGAAGTGAATGTTCATGACCCCTTCTTCCGTGGTCCTACGATTCTCACGGGTCTGCCTCCTCTGCGTGAACACTGCAGAGCTGAGGCCGCAACTTCTGTAGCTTGTCTATGTTGAGAAGCACAGACCTAGTGCCAGACCTACTTCTATGATACCTGCTGAATTTCTACATACGGCTACTGCTTGCGCAATGCGCCCATCAATCCAAATTCATCTGCAGACGGGTCACTCCATTTTGTTGCTGGAAGTCTTTTCTCTGGCCTCTACTCAAAAGTAGCAGCTAAGTAGCATGTGCCACTCGCATGAACTGCCTCCCCTTTTTTAAGTCAGTCGCTTAGTTGGCCGAGCCCGATGCCTCCAACATGCTAGAGATTTCGTACTTCAGCTGCGCGACCGCACGCTGAACTTCGCTGCGCACCTCACAGCGGGCTGTGTACATCTGAGTCTCCACTGCATGTTGGCAGTCTCAGCAGCGTGCATCCTGCAATATCTCATTGCCCACACCTGCACAAGTGACAGAATGGATGGTGCAGCAACACCCGACCCAACAGCTGGCTTCTTTAATTTCTTGTCCGAGGAGCTGTTCATTTTGGTGGTGAAACCTTTCCGGCACATCTCCATAACATCGTGCCACGCCTGCAGAACGGCTGAGACTTCTAGCCCTCAAACCTTCTCGTAGTGAGCTAAGCCTAACCTGAAACTCTTCTGAAACATGAAGATCAGAAGCTACTTGGGCCCCCTGCATTGCTGGACTGCGCGCGGGGAGGCCGCGTGGATGGCGAGGAGTTCGGGCGCGAGGACCTCCCACCAAAAGACGATGTTGCAAGAGAAAAAGTGCCAACGAGGACTCGAGGGCTCTTCTCGTCGGGTCCAAGTCCGAGGCTCTTCAGGTTCGGAGTCAAACTTCACCACGTTTGGGCTCGACCGCACCATTCCCGCCAAGTGCCGCTTGGCCATAGTGGCGACCTCGCATCTCTGCATCTTCAGCTACAGACGACAGGCATACATTAAGAACCAAGGGAGATGCGCCACTATGGCCGGACCAGCACGTGGAAGACAGCCACCAGCTTAAGCCACAGTTGGCAGCATTTGCTTGCCGTGCCGTAGTGTGCTTCTCGCATGACTTCGCTCTTTGTGACGGCAACGGGTCGTTGATTTGAATGGTTATTGAAACCCCGTGGTGGTGCTGTACTTCCCTTGCGGTTGCGTATGTAGAGAAGAAGGCGCGTTACCAATGGCATCTTACGATTCCAGAAGCCACTGAACCCCAGTCATCCCTGGGTCTTTTGCAGGAGTTCGTGGGAGCAGGGGTATCAGCGGAATTCGCACTGATTCAGAAGGTACTCCCATCATGTCGTGGTGCAAGTGTGTTTCAACTATTTTCAATCAAAGTTCAACCTTGTCCATCTGGCCGGAAGGGACTAGCAAATTGGAAAAATGGAGCACGCAGCTAAAGAACCAGGCATGTGACCTCGTCAGATTGCTTTGCTGAGCTTGAAGCTGTTCGCCGATGCTAGTGCAAGATCGCAGCACGAGGTGCGACCTCGATCCTATGTCACTACATCATTGCCAGTTCGCCGGTCTGAATGGCATGGCTGGGTAGCACAGAACTACATGGTTGAGTCGTCGAATAAATGACATGTCTCTGGCATCCCCAGCAAGTGAAGGGATTCGAATCGGGGCCAGAGCTTCACCGGCTGCTTGGACCTCCGAAGGGTTGGATGTACACCTCAGTGGTCGCTAGTTTGGCTCCGAATGCCCCTCCGAGTTTGTGTTAATCGTTTCCGAAAGGACGTTTGTGTTTGACTTTTTTGCATGTCTGCTGGCTAAGCGGCTGGCAGGACGATTAAAAGTTACTTCTGGTCTTCGGAGGAGGCGAGTGCATACCAAAACCCACCACTGATATCTAAGATTGCTCTTGCCCTTCATTGCATGTCATCCCACACAGCAGTGCCCGTCTCCTCTTCAGCCTTCGAATTCATGCCGGTATTCACATAACACTCTTTTGGTACTGTATTACTACATTTTACGCTCTGGTCACTCACTGTCGCTCTTGGCACTCTCACCACTCGCTTTCGCAACTGGAGCAAGTTCAGTGCGAGTCCAGTGGGCAAGACCCCAGCCGTGTTCGACAGCCTGCCGCCTTCGACAGACTCGAGCAACCTCGAGCAACGCGTTCCGCGGTTTTAGGCTCATGGAGTTGGCTGCCGGCACATCTTGGACTTCTGTGGGTCACTTGAATCACGTTCATCCCGAAAGCGCCGCCCAGCATCATGGGAGATGGATCTGTATCGGGCGCATCGCTCAGAGAGTCTGCCTTTTCTGGTGCTTCTCCAGGCTTTGTCCTTCACGGACTCAAAGAGTTGCGGCATTGCCGGGTAGTCCTGGAAAGCGCCCACCCCTATGAATACTCCGACCAGCAGCGTGGTCACTGCCGGGAGAGTCGTGCTGTCTGGCGACTCGTCTCTGGGACGCCAAGGCCGGAAAACCATGGCCTCGGCCTGGAGAGCATCGGAAAAATACAACACGAAGAAGGCCGACTAACATCACTGCTGCACTTCATAGGTTTTGTTTCAGCCCTTCGGAGCGCAGGTGCCTTGCTGACGGTATCACGGAGCAGGCTGCATTTCAGCGAGAAGGCTGCTGCAAGCAAGCCCAGCCACAAGCGCCGGCTGCGTCGAGTCATGACCCAGGCTACGGAAGCACCTGGTTTTGCCAGACTGCAGACATGCACCGTGACTACGTGACCGTGCAAATTCTAAGCTGCAAGCATTTGCAATGACAAGGGCAAGCAGAATGTGCTGTCTCGTCAAAGCGTATGCCTTTTCACCCCGTCCGCCCCTTGAGAATGAATCAGCATCAGGCGTGTCCGCTAGCGCCTCCCTTCGCAACTTCATCCGGCTCGAAAGGATTTGCCGAGTTCCTCTCAACTTCATCCATACCACCGACCGGTGCCTTGCAAAATCCTTTCTGCCATGAGGTACCTAAACTGAAGCTGGGGTCTGGCTTTGCTGTAAGCTCCCTCAGATGGTGCTAGGCATGGTAAAGTTAGCCTTCACTCCTAGCACCTCGCTGTACATCGAACGAAGGGAATCTACGCGAATCACGGCCGATTTCTCGCCCGGGGCCAGGTGAAGCTCTTGCTGATTCTCGACTTCCGACTCTTAAAGGCTTCCGCCCCTTCCGCTCTCGACACACAGCTTATCTATGGCCACCTTGCCGTGCTCTTTCAGCTGCTGTTGTACGAGCTTGAGGCGTCTCTCGCTTCTGCGTCTTTCACTGGCTCGCGTGAACTCCTGCAAAGTTGCCTGATATTGGTAGCGGGGTGACCGGTCGCAGTTTCGTGCCACATCAGACTCGTGAGCCTGCAGCGCCGGCACGCTCACCGCTCCAAGGAGCAAGCCCAGCGCCAATCCTGCGAGGACCCTCGTGGCAGCATGCGCATCGTGAGCAGGGCTGTGTGCGCTCACAGCCGCTGCTTCACATGCCTTCGTGAGAGGTCTTCGGGAAGGAGAGCTTTGACCCCTCCCAGGCGCGATGAAGCCACGGAGGGGCCTGACAGGAATCAGGAGTGCCAGGAGAGCAGCTGCCGCAACAGCCAGGAATCGTCTCATGGCCACAGCACGAACCCTCCAACACTTCAACGACCAGCTACTGTGCTAACACGCAGGAACTGAAAGCCAAGAACTTGTTGCAAATGCCTTAACGAAAAGCTCAGTGGACGTGGCTGGAATGGCTGGAAACACAGCTTCTTCCATGCGGTTCCTCTGGCAGAAACAGTGCAGCGCCGCACTGGTGGAACGACTGGAGCCTGGAAATGTAACTCCTACAGTCCTACAGAAGCCTTCAGCAGAGCTGCTGGCTCTTTGGCCCAGATACTTGGTGACCTGGGATTTGGCAAAGCAAAGCCTTCACTGCCCACAGGCCCTGTTTTCGAGCCCGCGAAGCAGACGGCTAGTAAGCATACCTTTGAATGGATTCATAGCGGAACACGGGCTGCAGCTTCTGCACTGGAGCAGGGTGGCCCCTCGTCTCCCATGACCTTCACCTGGCTTTCATGGAGGTGCTCCCGCTGGCTCAAGTTGTTCTCTCGCCACCTTGCACGGCAGAGACACCTCCTTCATGCAATGAATGCTCATTCTGCCTGCTGCAGCTCTCTCCCCGACCTGTTTTCGCAGCAGTCGGCAATGAGACACCAGAAGTCTGGGAAAACAAAGCAACTTGGCCGGTTGCCATTTCTGGCAGCCCCGCATTGACTTTGAATGCGGGTGGCCACTCTGGGAGTCTGGAGCAGAATGCTTTGTGGCTCTAATCTATGCCGTAATGCAACGCACAAACTGCTGTTGACTTGGGTGGGTCAGGTCAGAACATCTCTTCGGAATCATCATCTGCTTCCTGCACGGGCCTGGGCTATTCGTTGTCAGGTCCCACCTGTAACTTGAAAGCCTAAAAGCAGTCGTCTGCAATCTTCCGACCCCTTCCTGCAATATGATCTGCCGGGTCGCGCTGCTGCTGCCTTGAGCTGCGTCATTCTGGCTGCAGTGAGCGACTGCCTAGCAATCGACATCCTTGTGGAGGTCTGCGAGGGTCTTTGCGATCTCGAGGGGCTTGCAGGTCGTGGCGGGCTGCCAGGGCTTGCAGATCCCGTGTCACCTTCCACCTCTCGTGGCATCGCAGCTTTCTGTAGACATGTCCCAGAGAAACACAGTCGCAGGCGATGCCTCTGCTTCCAGAAGCTGTAGCAAAGGCTGTGCAGCCAACAGCGATGCGCCTCGATGTCAAATCAAAAGCTTGGGGATCACTAGCTCGTACCGGTACATGGTCGTACACCGTTCTAGTTTTGGTCCAGGCACGCCCTTTGGAGAGCTCCTCTTCGACCTGAAAGTCGGGAGCGGGGAGTCGCGGCCAGCTACAGTAGCTAGCAGCTTTCATGCGGTCCAGGTCGCAACCTCAAGAGCAGCCAGAGACTCCAGACGTTCCAGCTCCTCTCGTAGTCGGACACTCTGGCGATTGACGCGGAGACTCTGGGGTCTGTATGTGTTGCTCCTCACGCACGGATGCCTCTTTCGTGTCGAGCTCGGCCTATGGCGAGGTGCAGACCACCCGCCCATTCTGCCGTTGCATGCTGCTGCCTCCCGCTGGGCTTGAGCGCTGGCTTTTGCTTCAAGCTGGATCCGAAGGGCCTCAGCAGACGGCAGCTTGCGAAAAAAACCCAGAGCTCAACAATCACAACGGCTCAACCCAGGCACCTCGAGCTCGGAGCTCTGCTTCGCCACTTGCGTCTTTTCCTGCTGCAAGGCCGCGCGCTCGGCATCCAAAGCAGCCTGCACCCGACAAGACTCGCGACTCGCGACTCCCTACTACCCGCTACCCGCCGTGTCTTCGCGTGCGTCGCGCCTTCGTCTCTTGCACTTCCGCAGTCTCTCGCTCGAGGTCAGCTCGGCGCCTGCAGCGCCAGGGCGACGCCGCACCGCGCGGAGGCGGGCAGGGCGGAAGCGCAGTGCCTGGACTCCTCTTCCTGGGCGTCGCCCTTCGGCCCCTCAAAGAGGCTCCAGTCCGCTCTTGTGCTCTCAGTGGCTGGGCCGGGGCCCGGGCGGAGGTCGCCGCGGAATCGCCGCCGGACCGCTGGGCCGGCGCGAGCGCCTCGAGCTCCGCCTTCTTCGCGTCGAGCTCGGCCTGGGCCATGGCGGCCATGGACTTTCGCGGATCAGAAGCTGTGCTTTGAAAGCAGGGACATCTGAGTTGAAACCGTGGGGACCCTGCCTGCAAGGCCAAAAGGCGCTCCTCCAGCGCTCGTCTCTCCAAATCTCTTTCGGCCAGGTCCTTGACCCGCTGTGCCTGACACTCTCCATCTAGAATCTAGACATGTCAAGTTTATCTGCTCGTTTTTCTCCGGGCCCCCCCCCCGGGAGCTTGGCCTTGTGCTGGAGGCTGTTGGACTTCTCTAGGGCCGTGCAAATGCCCTGGGCACGAGCACGACGAGCTAAGACTCAGACGCCGGGAGATCCGAGGTGCGCACAAGCTCCTTCTTCACTCGCTCGCTCTCGTCCTTCAGGGCTTGCTGGAGGTGGACCTGGCTCTCGCACTTTCTCCGGCTGAGCATAGCAAACACAGGTTCTCCCAGCTGCACCTTTTGAAGACTCAGAGTTACCACCCTTGGTCGCGAGAGCGTGCAGTGTATCAGAAACAGTGTACATGAGTAGCTGACCGCATGGAGGGCTCTTTCCTCTCTCTTGCTTGAGCATGCTGTTGCATGCGCTTGAAATCCCACCACAAGCTATGCTCTTTGCCGAGCATCTGCTGTTGGAAGTTTGCCACTTGTTTCCTGAAGAGTACGCGCACTGCATACTTTTGAGATGCTGCCACTCTCAGTGAACTGTAATTGAGCTGCTCCTCCAACTCTAACACGGCAGCCAACGCGTCAGCCAACACGTCTCCGGACTGCTTCGGACTGCTTCGGACTGCCGAATGCTGGCAGGACGCCAGGCTTCGGCCATCGGCGGTGCCAATTTCACTCGGAGTGGCCGCTGCTTCAATGCTGCTCGGAAGTCTTCGGCAGACATCTGGCCCCTTAGCACAGAGTAACCCCACTGGTAATCTGACACTGGCTGGGAGACAAGCAGCGCTGAAATGAAACGGCGGTAAGGACGAGGTGCGCTTCCTGGCCGTTCAACTCAAGAAGCTCGCTTCCCACCAGGATGCCAGCATCAGCAGCCCAGGAGTCCTGACCAGGTCGCTGCATCCCGTCGCTCTGCACAGGGCTCTACCGTGCCTTCTTCACGTTCTTGATGACTAACGGGGCATACTTCCTGCACATGCACGGGGTTCGTCGCTCTGCAGGACAATGGTCGACCGGCGGGTTCACGCGTTTCGTGAATGTGCCCGTGCGCTGTCCGTCGTGCACCGGCACCGTTCCCACCACGCGCGCAACCCCAGTGTCAGGAGGCGTAGTTGGCCGCAGAACTGAACAGAAGTTACAGTACCGGTACCCTTGCATGCAGTCTCTCCCTTTTTGCTTCTTCCGCACCGGACTTCCGGTCAGCGTGCAAAGGAACAAGTCCCTCGGGACGGTTGTGGTTGCGGGTTGCAAGGTTGCCCCAGCTTAAAGGTTCAAAAAAGCTCAACAAACTCCATTCACAAGACGCCTTTGTCTCCCTCGCTCTCCCTGCCTCCTGTCTTTCTTTGCTTTATGGGGCCGTCTCGCGCAGTTCTTCTTCAGCACAGACAGAGGCGCACCAAACCGTCCGCCTCTAGGGCCTTTCGAACGACCCTCACACGTTGACTCACCTCCCAGTCCCCGAAACATGGCTGCCGCACTTTACTGTTTCCCCCCGGCACTCTGGGAAACACTGCTAGTCACCTTCCGGGATACCATGCATCCGTGATCTCTGCATCTCTCCGCCCTATAATCACCCGTAAGACAGGGTGCGTTGGCGGCAAATCGACGAAGCCGAAGCCCAGGCTGTCCACGGATTCTTCCACCTTGATAGCAGATGGGGAAGCTTCCCGTCTGCTTGAAGACATCAGCTGAAGACATCCGCAAGAAGCTGAAAGCCGAGGGACGACCAGCTCCTTCTCATCGCAATCGCGCACCGAAGACTTGCCGGGCGGCATGACCCAGGATATCACAAGGCACCATGTCAGAAGGCTCAGGGGCAACCGACTTCACAACCCCCTACCGCCGGGTCGGCAGGATGGCACTGGCTGCATTTGCACATGCAACACGTCCGGCTGTGGGGATATGAACGGGTCATGAGCTTCGTCATGCTCTGCTGGGCTACTTCCGCTTTTTGAGAAGATTGCAAGCTTGCCGAAGAGCCCAAACAAGGCAACGTGTCTATCATAGTGTGCTCATGCGGTCGTGAAGGTTTAGAGTCTAGAGGGGAACGAAATGGTGTGAAACCGGGCGCATGAGCTGCTCGAGCAAACCCCTGTCCCGCCCTGGCCGCCTCATCTCGCCCAGCAAGGTCGAGGACAAGAAATTCACGATGTTGTCGCTGCTTCGCAGATCAGCATGGGCTTTCGTTATGTGCGCTGACTGCGCAAAGCGGTGCCAGCGAAGGAAGCATAGCGACACCATGTTGGCAGTGTCCTCAACAATGTTGTATGAGGCAGATCGGGCAGCGCCGTGCCAAGCTACTCCCTGCGCCCTGCGCTGTCCTGCACCTCGAAGGCCGCAACGACAGCATCCCAATCCTTGTGAGACTGAAGATCTGAGCGCACCGTGCACAGCGGCAATCAGTGGCCTGGGGGCCACGGAATCACGCCCAGATCACAAGTCCCCGACGCGTCGTGCCAGCTTGCGCTGCGCACCTTGCACCAGACGGCCGCACTGTCTGAGCAAGATGGAGCAAGAGAAGGAGAATGCAAGAGATGTTCCTTTACTAAATTCCATCGACCCGACATTCGAGCTTGTTCCTTTCCCGGTAGCCGCCTTTTCTGCGGTCCGAGCCACCATGATGAAGTTTAGATGGGGCCTGGCCACGGATCAGCCGACCCAGCAGCTGTGCTCGCCGAACCTCCTCCTGACAGCTTGCTCGTCCAGTCCTTGCCTCATGTCAGCTACAGATCCCACCTTGACGGGGGCTGCAGCTCTCGGTGGGATTGTCCTCACCGCCGCAGGATGAAATCTCTGAACATGCTAGAAACATGACACGCCTCCTGCTGCCGGATACATGAATCAAAAAAACGTTTCGAACAAAACAGATTCCTGCAAGGGCGGCAAACATAAGCAGCGCAGAGAGCAGTCGCAGCGCTTCTCTTGCAAAAGATTCACCGACAAGTGACAGCGGTGAGTGGGTGCTGGAAACAGTAATCCAGCTGATCTTGTTGTGCTCTAATCTTCTGACGGACTCGTCGGCATCATCCCGCGACTGGCGACTGCTCCGATTGAAGTCAAGAGTCGGTGGCGGACTGCACAGGAAAGCCAGCACAGCGGTCCTCAGCTTCTATGCCGTCCAAGATGCAGCAGGAACCATGGTTAGATCAGCTGGAGGGCACACAAATCACCAGCAGCACAGTGAGAAGTGATGCCACCCAGACCGGCAGCAGGTCTGGCAGGAAGCAGCCTTGCACCTCCGAACCAGGAGCCGCGAGTTTCAAGCCAGGCCACAGGCAGCCGACGCCTGGTTGAAAGCGGCCAGGATGAAGATGAGCTTTCCCAAGACCGAGTGGCAAGTCCCGACATCTTGCCGCTCGCTTCCTCAGGATGAGTCGAGGGTGTGGTGTCTGCCTCGTTTCAGCTTCTCCCTTGCTGTGTTCCTCGGACCTTCCATTCTGCACCTGTGCCGACAGTCCTCTTTGAAGAGCGACCAGCTTGGCGGCACCAGAGCAGCTGCATGCAAAAAGCAGCATGAGGACTGCGTAGCCTACGAAGACCTTACATTCGGCGGCAGTCGCGGCCAAAATCTGAGTACCGATACTCGATTGCTTGCCTACTACACACGTAACCCACATACAGGCACACGGCAACTGGACGCAACTGATGCTTCCGGACGACATGATACTGCGGCCTCGACACATGGAATCTGCTGCTCCAAGTTGGCGACAGTCGCGGCTCTGCAGCACAGAGCCTCTTCCAGTACATGGACCTCAGCGGCCCCCCCTGGAAGCCCAGGCTTTGCTCCTCTATATTTTGACAATGCAGCTGGGATGGAGTCGAGTCGAGGCACAGGCACCCCAAAATGGCACAAAGTAGCACCAGCACGCCTTAGTTTTCTCGTCGGTAAAATCCTAAATAGGAAGGGATCCCAGCCAGTCTGTCTGCAGGCAATGCGCCCAAGGATGCATGCGCAGCATGCCGAAGAAGAGGCTCCATGACAAGGCCACCGGTCCGATCTCTGGCATAGCTCAGGAGACCTGCGCATCCGCGCTCGAGAGAGAAGTTGCGAAAAACCGGAGGTCGCAACGCGCGCCTGCCGTTGTCAATGGGAGGAAAGCCAAAGACATCAGAACAGCATGGCCCAGGACGAGAACCGGCTGACCTCAGCACTGACCGATGAATGCACCGTAGATTTGTCGAAGCACCATCATATTGGGCATCGTCCAGCGTCATCCTGAAAGACCCTGGATACAGGTTGGACACTGATCAAGGCAGCGTTCAGCAGCAGCACGATCACCGCGCCGAAGCTGATCAGAAGCTTTGGCGCGCCAGACCAGCCCTTCCGTGCGACAGACATAGACGTGATGTGGATGATGGGCCTACATGCTTCGTGCTGCCAGCTGCTTGCTCATCCATGTGTTATTGCACTTTAAGTTGGCTCCGAGGAGCTTTTCCAGGTCGCGCTTTGGCATCTAATCGCGCAGCACCTGTGTACAAGAATCGGCTAACGGCGCTTGCTCCCTGCTTGGCAAGGAGGCGTACCTCCAACAATCATGTGGGTTGCACCTTTCAGGAAAGGTTCTGTCAGGTAGGCGGTCGAAGTATCCTGCGAAGTTCTTCTCTGCCGCGCCGGAACCTGGCCTGCCGAAAGGGGAACAAGGTTTTGCCAGGCGCATTCTATGTTTGGCGTGACACATACAAGACAGTGCCGCGATCATATATAGACGATCTCGAGGCATGAAGGTACCATAAAGTTATGTGCGTGTGACTGAAAGGACTCGAGTCCGTCTCTGCGAGCCTGCAGCATCCAGAAGGAACGGAAACTGGACGTGGAAGTGCTGCAGCTTGCGCTCTAGGGCGGCCTTGGTCAAGCACCAAAATCTGGTGGAGCTTGCCCAGAAAGAAACACACCCAGCATGAGCTCTGCAGGTCAGCTTGGCGCAGCTTGGCGGCAGGAAGCTTTAAAGGATCTTCACCAAAAGCCGGGCCAATGAGCTGGCAGTACCAGCCTGGCAAAAAAAGCCAGTGGAGAGAGGGGGAGGCAGGGAGGGAGGGAGGGGGAGGGTTAATGCTGCCAGGACTCCAAGCAAAGTCCCCAGGCCTCGGCTACAGGCAGCCATGAACTCAGAAGAGCCACCAAATCAACACACATCGAGGCCGCAGCTCCAGATTGCGGCAAAAAGCAGAGAGTTTCCTGCCCCAACCGAACTCCACATCGCATGGCGACCTCCAAAAGACATTGAGAAAGAGCAAGCCAACAAAACTGTTCCGGTCTTCCGAGGCAAGCTGGACCGCCTGCACGATCCTCTTCCCAGAACTGGCAGCTCGTCGCCAGCAGGTAGGCACCGACCACAGGAGTCAGCAAGCACCATCCTTCGAAGAGCCGATGACGCCGATGCAAGTCGCTTGAAGCGCAGTGTCCTGCCAAGCGGAACTCCTTCAACAGCAAGCCACCAGCAACCTTGGCATCCAGCCCTAGGCAAGCACAGTGTCTAGAAGACCGTGGGAGCCTGCTGCGAGATAGGGCTCACAGAGAGAGAGTAAGGTCTTTCTTCCGAATTCCGGAGGACGCCAAGGGGCTGCGACCAGCACGCTCAGTGCCAGCAGCTCTTTCTGGGCATGCTCGAGGTTCAAGGATTCGCGCAGGAAAATGGTGCCTAGTCCTGCGACCAGCAGCAGAGTTTCCACTCGACTTCGCAACATGGCCTGCATCCAGCCTGCAGCGAAGCCCCCTGCAAGGAAGAGCACCACTGGATAGAAGCGATGTGCCAGTACACAGGAGCACGCCTTCAGTGTAGCTGACTCATTCCGCATTCCAATTGTCGAGTTCTCTTCCGGCTCCGTACTGGTGCCAGACAAGCTGCTGCAACGAGCACCGCGCATATACCTCCAGCTGTGCTGCTTTGCTGTGTCGCAGCCACCTGCGCAGCGCTCGGCTCGTTGCAGCGGAAAACCGGTCTCAACGTCTAGACCTCACTGCAGCCGCCTCCTCAATGCGCACTGCCAGGGCCACAGAAAGCGATGTGACGAAGACTGGCTTTACCAATGTGGAACCTTGGCACCGAGACGCCCTGGAGTCACTCGAGTCATTAAGCCATTGTGCACCTGCTGCTTCGGTGCTTCTACTGCTGCCACGAGGCCGCAGAGGACAAGGACACTGCCGACAATGGCACAAGCAAAGGAAAGCTGACCTTGCATCACGACCCTGCAACTGAGCTTCAAGCGGAACAGGCCGCATCCCCCACTCAGAGTGAACACACCTATCCCTTCCAGGACTGCAGCCCCGTGAAATCCCATGACTGGCCTTGGCTCGTGGAGTTGAGCCGGTCGACGACCAAGTGCCAGGCACAGGCTAGCTGGTCCTGCAACATGTTTTGGACACGAGTTGCCGCCCCCGGCCTGCTTCACCTAGCTCCGTGTCTTTCTCGCCTGTTTAGGACATGTTCACTCAAGACCAAGCATCCTCCACCTGGCTTGCTATCCAATCTGACCTAAGCTTGAGGTATCCAGCTCTCTGTGAAGCTCCAGGGCGAAAGCAAGGACACTGACACGGCACCTCTAATGAAGTGTCAGGATGCACGTCGTCACTTGCCGCACCCTTCATGCAAAGCTACTCCTGAGCACAAAGACAATCGTATGAAGTCTCCAAGCTTTCCTACTTCGACGTATTTGAGCAGATGTTGTCTCGATACCGACAGCTAGGGCTGGCACCAATCTAGGACACCTCCTGTGCGACCGAGCCATCGTGGACATGGACGAGCTCCCACATGCTCGAGTCATGAGCACGGCAGCTGGTCGGGCAGTTCATGTCTGACTTCTAGTAGCCAGGTGCGAAATGACGCCGCATCAGTTCTCAAGCCACAGGCCAAGACTATTGTTGTCCGCAGCACCGGCTCCTTACCTAGCCCAGAGCAGAACCTATGTGTAAGTCCTCTGCTCTGTGGCAAAGCTGGACATAGGGCGTCGCCAACTTGTGGGCAACGGCACCCGGACCACAGGAACGCGACCCGCTTAATCTTCAAATCGGCCTTGATGACAAATATCTGGGAATGTTGATGCACTCCGCAGACAATGAATGCATATCGGCGACAAGCACTCGAACGTGCTCATCGGCTCAAAACCCTTCGCACACAAGCTTCTGCAAGTGGGGCGCCCAAAGCTTCCGAGAACGAAACCCATTCAACTTGATTTTTCCTAAGATAAACTCACTCGCTTCCAAGCAATGCTGTTCAAGATCGACACTCGGATGCAGGAGACAACCCCCAATCGCAAGTAATGTTCCTACTTGCACGGGGCCTGCTCTGGACTCAATTTCAAGCCCTGCCTTTTGCAAAGGCATGCAAACGGGAAAAAGACGATAACAGCCCAAAGCAAGCAGGCGTCCGTAAGTACAAAGCTATTGCATGCATCTTGTCATAGTCTTCCTAGTGCCCTGAGCTCTGATTCCCAATGCTGTTGCGACACGCCAGTCTGTAGGCTCTGGGAAACTCTCATCGCATGCAGAGTCGCATATTGAATTGGCAAGGCTTCATCCGGTCACAGATTGAAAAAGGACCCTGCTAGGCCTGCCACTCAACACTCACCGAACGCCGCTGGATTGATCACGGCTCACCGCTGGGCGATACCTTGCTAGAGAGCGTCGCGCCAAAGAGCTGTGTTCTGTAAAGGCTTCATGGACATCCCGCACACATGCGCTGCTACAAAAACGACTCTATCCGTTGCCTATTGAAGCTGCGGGCGCGGATAAATGGACAATGTCAAACTGCACGCCAAATTCCGAAAAGCGAAAGTCGAAAAGTTGTAAAAACCTAGAGAATTTGTGCAAAAGAACCGTAACAACCCGAAGAGTCGAAAAGTCAAAAAGGTCTTGAGAAGTAAGCCATTGCAGCGAAAAGTCGAAAAGTACAGAGAAAAGCGAAAACCGCGAAAAGTCGAAAAGTACAGCAAAACGCGAAAAGTCGAAAGTCAAAGTCGAAACGTAGAAAACACAACACAGCAAAGGCCGAAAAAGCACTGGGGGAGTTCTGGCCTTGAGGCCTATTAAGATTGAAACCTTGTCAAGTCAAAGCACCGGCAAGGATGTAGGGCTTCACTAAGTGTGCGAGGTGTCCATGGCACAGGGAACTCGATGTGAAAGTTATACAAAAACACGTAAACATCTGCCTGTGCTATGTGTGTGTGTGTCTAAACAGAAGCAGAAGGATTGCTACACGTACATGCACACCTATATACATGTATCTGACTCTATCTATCTATCTATCTATCTATCTATACATACATACATACATATGTCTATATATATATACACATAGGTAAAGGTATGTGTGTATATAATTACACATCTGATACGATATGTATATACACATGTACACCACTGGGACAATGTCTGGTGGCGCATTAGGCTGTAGCTTCGGAGGTGTTCGACTTTGGGGATGCAAGTTCCGGGCGGCATGGTTTTCTGAAACGTGAAGAGACGAACACTGAACTTGGAAAACAGTTCTTATGAATCCCTATGCTGCTTTGCTGTTTCGGGCGGTGAAAGACCCCAGATCGGACCACAACCCTAAACCTCATCAACGCCGGTAGAAATACTTATAAACACTTCAAAGAGGACCATGGTTAAACCCGAGTACAACCAATAGAAAAATCAAATTAACTAAATGGTCGAATCCTCGCGGAAACCACTAATTTTGGTGCCTTAGCGATGTGTAATATGCTTCGGGGCACGATAGTGCGAGGGAGGAATACCATTACGAAGTGCTCCGCGCTCATCGTTGAAGCCCGTTGAAGAGCTACAAAAACTCATTGGAAACCGTACAGTTCTAGCAAAACACGACAAACCAGTGTCTCAGTGCTTACTTAAAGATGAGAACAAACCACATAAGCTCTTGTCGAACCCCAAGCTCTTTCCAAAACCTAGCTCAAAAAAAGTCTGTAACGCCCTATAAATCGCCAAATGCTATACCGTCTTAGAACCGTGAGAGGGACCCTTCAGGGAGCTGCAAAACACGAGCCCCAGAATGTCTCAAACAACTCAAAACCTTAGGCCTCAAAACCCTGAACGAACAGCGGAACCCGAAAAGTCAAAAAACACAAAACGTTTAAAAAGTGCAAGGAAACCCGAAAAGTCAAAAAGCCCAAAAAGTCCCAAAAATTGCACGAAAAGTCGAAAAGTCAAAAAACGTTTCGACTTTTTGAGTTTCGCTTCGGTTGTCGGCTTATGGAAACCAACGCCTGCTTGCATACTTAGCTTGCCTAGAGCGCATATTGAAACTGACCAAACTCTTCGAGCACGAAGCCCTGCTCTAGGATCAGCTGTCAGGCTGCAAGCGCCGAGGAGAGGAAGTTCACCAGGTTGTTGGACCCCTGGAGTTCCTCGGACAGAGCTGGATAGAATCCGCCTAGCTGAATCTGGGGTTCAGGCTTGGCAGGCCTGGGGCCGAGATACCCTGTTACATTCGTCACTGGCTTCCCAAAGCTACACTTTGGTCTAGCATCTCCCGGAATGGGCTACAGGCAATGACGTGTGGGCGCCAGGTGCCTTCCTCTCGTTATCTCGATGCTGGCAAAAAGCATGTATCTGGTCGCCGTTCCGGCACACCGACAAGGCCGAATCGTGCGGTGCTGTTTTCGGCGCTCACATTCAGACACTCCAGGCGAGGCATATGGTTCGAGGTCTTGCTCAAGTGAAACTTCATAGCGAGTCAAAAGGACACAAGTTCCCATGACAAACAACATGCGAAGTCAAGATACTAGCTTTCGACCAAGATCCATTCACTCACGCATGTATCTTGTTATGGATCTCGGCCACTACTCAAGCGAGGATCGTGCTCAAGGGTGACCAGCTAACCCTAACGCCATACGGGGTAAGAAGAACGCCCCAGCTTTGGGGCGGGGGAATGAGCAGCACCATGCCAAGGTTGTTTGCATCAGACCATGGAGTTTATTATCTGACATCGTTGCAGGAGTCATCGATGAATAGCAGCACTGTGGAGTTTCGATGGGGCCGTGCGTGAGACATCGGGCATGTAGGCAAAACCCGGCGGTGCATCCAAGGGTCAGCTTGCGCTTTGGCAATCATGCTGGACTGAGTCTGCCTTGGCTATGAGCCACTTGCAGCTACTTCATTGTCAGTGCTGCGCGCCCCGTTATGGACCGGTACACAGAAACTTATTCTGCAGCTGCGTGCCTGTGCCAGTGCGTAAAATACAGCGCTGCTGTGGCTTTTCGATCCTGGACCTCGAAGGCTTCCAGAACGGCATCCCAATCGAAACTCTTCGTCCGGCCTCAACGTGAGCACGCGGAAGCCAAAAAGAAAGCTTTGCTGAACAGCCCATCACCAGCCGTGTCACTGCTGCGTCGTCCGACCAGTCCTGTCAATACACCTGCCAAAGATGTCAAAACTGCTATAGAGTTTCATCCCTGCTTGCAAGAACAACCCTGACTACATTTCCAATTTCATCGGCCCTGTGCCCTGTGCACTTGAAATGGATGTCAGCACCCCAAGATGCTTCTTCTTCCGTGCGGGCCGGTGTTCATGATGACCACGTTGGAAAGGATGGTCGTCATGTCTGAGAGCTAGGTTGGCTAACTCCATTTGTAACCCGCATACAGCATTTACATAAAACTCAAGCTACAGCTCGACAAGAGATGCTTCCAACAAGCCCTTACTATGGAAAGCCGGTGTGGATACGATTGCATGTTCGGCAACAAGGCTCCGCCTGTGCCAATAATGAATACCGCCACTGCAAACATTGACATTAGTGGTGGTTTCTCGTCTTGCTGAATGTACGGATTGTCTTCTTGCTCATGTCCAGATGGGCCCTCGAATCTGGGCATGCCTGCCCCGATGCTGGTGATGGAGGAGTTGCGCCGTGTGATGGTCCGCAAGCTCTCGATCCGGGTCGTTGCTGCGCCTAAGTGCTCGGGAGGTCGAGGGTCAAAAGATCCTCGCACTGGTCGGCGAGTCGGCTTGAAGTGCCCAAGGAGCTGGATATGGCCGGACGGTAGGTGGGCTTGGCCACCTTTAAGGACGCCTCAGACCGCCAAGGAAGCACAAAACAAGCTGGCCTTGCTTCAGCTCTCATTGCAGCGCCTCCCGAGCTGGCTCCCAGGAGGATTCGTTGGATCCGTTGTCGAACCTCGGCCAAGCCAGGCTCAGGGACAGTTTGTCATCGCAGAACCACCCCCCCCTCCTCCCCTCTCCCGGCATCGCCTCTTCATGCGCTTGACAACTTCAGGACTGCGACCGTTCAGGAAGGCGATCGTGGCCGATGTCGAGGCGATGAGGATCACAGTGAGCAGAAGCGACCTCAAGTCAGGAAGCTCCCACAGCTCGCAGGAGCAAGGGAAACCGGGCTCAGAGCCCCCAGAGTGGCAGTAGCTCCGGCATGAAGTAGCCCAGGACCTGACTGACCTGAGTGCCAGTGAGATCTTCCCCGTATCGCAGCTGACCGTCTCTGCGGCTGCATGATGTGCGTGCATTCGCTCTGCTGGCAAGCAGCCCCCGCAAAGCCATAAAGGGTTTTACCCAAGTGCGAATGGAATTTCGCCACATCATCGGCATTGCCGGATGTAAGTCCTGCAGCACAGATTTAAGGGACGAGGCGCTGGCCGGTAGCCTATCGTTTCGATCCTGTCCTGCAAACATCTTGGCAGCTCCCGAGAATGTCATCACAAAGAGCAGAGCCAGTGTGACCTCGGAAGGAACCCTGCGCATCTCCCGCCGACTTCCTCGCACATGGTTCGCCGAGTAGCATATCCCGTCCACACATGTAGAGTCCTGCTTCTCACAGCACCACAGCTTTGAAGCAAGATGCAAAGCAGGGCTGAGGCGCAGGTCCCGATCCAAGAGGACTTCGATGACAGGGGAGCAGGGGACTTGTGCGCCAGGAAGCGGCTCCTTGGATTCTCAGGGAGCTCACCCGCCAGTTGTGCGGCGTGCTGCGACATCGGGCCAATGCATGCAGGCCACCCGTACATGCAGAGAAACCCACCGATAGAGCAGAAGAGAACCTGGACAAGTGCATAAGTCGAATTCGGCAACCCGGGCGTGAAATGAACTTGGCGTTGCCACTAGACTTGCTTTGTCAGGCCATGTAGCCAGAATGTTGAACGTTGCATGCGTGAAGTGGCGCAGCAGAGGCGAATTGGATCCCGAAAGCCCAGGCAACATTCGGTTCGGTGATGCGTAACTCATAAGACCGGCGGTCCTGGGAGGACCAGTGATGCAGGCACTTGCACGGCAATGGCCCTGCTCTTACTGAACGTTCCAAGTAACAGGAAAGCTTGGAAGGCCGCGGCCATCAACACCACATGGCCCAAGAACAGCAGCGGCTTTCCTGATCTCATGTCATGGCACGTCGGGAAGATCCTTGAATTCCCGGCACCAGGAGTAGACTAGACAAGCCACCAAGCATGAAAAAATTGAGCAGCAGTACGCTGAACACCATTGCTGCAAGCACCCCTTCTGGCTTGTAGTTCGGTGTCTTCTCCTCGTAGTCCAATCCAGAGTTATGCCATCTTGCAAGTAGCTCCAAGTCAGCTTGAGAGATGCCAAGCTGCCGAAAGATCATCCATCTCCACTTCCTCTTTCGGCAGGAACGGCATACTTTCCTGTGACAGCCTTTGTGGTAGGATCTTGCTGGCGAACTCCTGGCATCGAAGGGTAGGCACCAAAGGCAAATAAAATCCTGGCACTCCACAAAAGGCTGCCGCCTGGCCATTGTCGAAGAACCAGGGGAAATACTTCTCCAGCCTCAAACGTCTTCAACTTCAATTCATGCTCCACAGACAAACTTGCTTTTCCCTGCATTCTCTCACATTGCAGTAGATAGCTTGCAGCTTCCCTCAGCACCGATTACGTCCAGACTCACTGCGGCTATGTGTATGTGCGGTGACAGCCACTAGCAGGAGGCCCTCGCACAACACATGTTGTTTATACATTTTGGGGTGCACTTGCCTGAGGAACGATGATGAAGTGTTTCCTTGTAGGGTAGTCTGCTTGGCTCCGACAAAGCTGCGGCCCCGGCTGTTGCAAGCGGAAGGCCACGCTGTCCGGCAAGGCCAGTGGATCCACCCCGGCAGCCACAGCGAAGAGCTGTGCATACCTAGCAAGGTGCGCAGCTGAAAGAATCTGAAGTTAGATACTCGGCTCTGCCAAGCAGCCATCCCAAGCAAGACGAAATGCCCCAGGCTACCACAAAGAAGAGTTCCTCAGCTTCCCAGGCTCACAGGAGCCATGTAACTGAACATGCGGCCAAGATTGGCCAAGCAACAAGCGGGTCCGAAACCACATCGGCTGGATAGAGTGAGATCTTCGTAAAATCCAGCCAGTCCGCCTTGCATATGCGTGCCGTCTCGTAGCAGTCTGCCAGTCCAAACAGAACTGAGGCAGTTATCGGGCTGCAGAAAAGAGGCGCCAGTCCCAGCTGCAAAGGTCGAGACGACCTGAAATAGGGGAGATCCGCACTCCAGTTGCGGTTCTGGCAAGAGATCTTCAGAAACCCACAGGCTGAGCGGCTTTTTCCAGGCTCAGGCACACTGGGACTTTGTCCGAAACCAATGGTCTCGTGCAAGCGGAGACTATCACACAACATCACACATGGAAAGGACCACTTGCAGCTGCGGACATCTGCGGTACCTACAAGCCTCGCAACCGGGCTTCGCTGCATGTGTTCTTGAGAGCGAGACCTCGCCGGCTTGTCTCTTGACTTCACAGGGGCGCCTCGAACCACACGGAAATCACTTGTCGAATCGCACATCCGAGCTGTAGCAACATCCTGAAGTCACGTCTTGGCAGTACCTGGTACCTTGTAGATGGAGTGCTTCTTATCAAACTCGATTCCAAGCTCTTGCATCATGGTGGAAACAATGATGTTGCCTTGGTTGTATGAGAAAACCACCTCATCCCTTGCCAGGCTGGCAATGTTATTGATGAAAGCGCGCTGCGATGGCAGGGCCCATTTCCGAAACATGGAACAGCAGCAGCTGCATCGCAGCAAAATAGGGGGTATCCCACCCCAGCGTATAAACAGGAGGACATCAGAGACCAGGATTACATCAAAGAAGCGAGGAGCATCTTCTTGATGCCATGCTGCATACACCACCTCTTGCGGGGAGATCGCTGGATTCACTAGGTTGCCTAGGTCGAACTGTGTCGCCATACAGCTGGGACAGTTCTCACGTGTCGCCGCAACCATGACATTGCTGATGTCCGTACCGTAGTGTTTTGCTCCGGGGTGCCTCTTCAACAAGCTGGCCAACATAAAACCAACGTTGCACGAAACATCCCAAATGGACTCGTAGGGCTTCTCGTACAAGTATCTCATCCTTTGGTAGGCCGCTCAACCCAAAGGCTCACAACAAGCAAAAGAGCACCGATGCAACACTGACGGAGAACCTGACCTGTGGCACAAAAACTCTAAATCAAGCGAAGCAGCATCGTGTAGTTTTCAAGTTTGCTTTGGTTGTACCCCCATATTCCTCCAGCCAGCCCTTTTCCGTGTTCGTGGATGGAGTCCCATACGTCCTCTGTGGGTAGAAAGTATGCGCGCCACACTCCACCTGGCGGGTCGGGTTTGGCACTGCTAGTGCACTGGGTGAATCTAGACAAATTAGTCGCACTCTGCCCCACTTCGGCAATCCGGGCCCCTATAGAGAACTGCAGCGTTTGCGAAAATGCAGAGCAGGACCACCGCCAGAAAAAAGCAGAGCAGCGTGCGGTAGCGCAGCATCGCGACAGGGTTCGGCGGCTCAAGGCTCACATGACTCACATCGGCTTGGTGTAACTTGCTACGGCTTGAAGCGGAGTGAGAAAAGAACTGCAAGAGCTGAGCCTCTACGTAAAAAAATGATCCTGTGCTTGTCACGCAAGAAACAAGTAGCTAAGTAGCCGCATCGCTGTCATCGCTGCTCGAACAAAGACCGGATTGACGGCGCAGACTCGCACTTCAGAAGTGGTGCTGTGATTTTGCAGTCTGGGCCCTGGTGCCCAGAAGCGCATGCTGGCCGATGCCAGCGCGCCACCAACCAGCGGTGTGAGCACACGCCAGCTGAAGATGCGGAAGTGTTCTCAGCTGCTGATGATATTGCGATTATTTGCGCTAAACTAAACCTGCTCGTGTGCAGCAGACGCAGCCAGCACAGCCCACGCTCACGGAGACTAAAACACACAACGATCACGGCTTGCCATCTGCCAAGTTGCTCATGACCTGAGCCCAGGTACACTTCCCGTGCAACCCCCCAGCACCTACGCATTTGCAAGTCCCGACACATGCATGCTGTTTCTTGGTCGCAGCTTCCCTGGCGAAGCTTTGGCCGAATGGTGTTGCACTTTTGCCTCTTACTATGCAATGATGCTAAATTATGAAATTCCCTGCAGCTACAGCGTGCTGGCGTAAACGACCCTGGGGCCCATTTCTTAGATGCTGACCAGGCCAGCAAAGACCGAGAGGAGCATCATCAAGCCGATCAGAGCGGTAGGGGTACCGGCCAAGCCAAGGGAGCTCCGGCAGAGGAAAGTGGCACCCCCTCAAGCAACGCTTGGCTCTTTCCGTACCGTCTTGCTTGGTCTCCAAATTTGCCTCCGAGCACGCATCCAAGGAAGAAGACGAAGAGCGGATAAACCCGATGCGCGAAGATCACACCACCTGAGAGATGAGTCTGCGCCATGCAAACCGACCCATTACTTACAGTGCACACGCTCAGGCAGCAGCATAGGCCAACTACGATGGCCGATACGCCGCCTGCAAGGCCTTGTCCTGCATCACAAGGCACGAAACAGCACCTCATCCCTCTCTGATGTCTTAAGTCTTACTGTGGACCGTCCTTCATGCAGCGCTACTATGCTAGTGTGTGCAGCAAGTCCACCGGCAAAAGTGAGCACCTGTGTTCGGTGCAACCAAAAGATCTGCATTGTCAACAGTCCGAAGCTTAGGACGACACACTCAAGGGCTTCATGATGGCAAAGCCACGTGCAACGAAGGTCGCACCTGGACTCTGTCGAGCCATGGAGGTTTCAATTCTGTCGGACTCAACCAGCAAGGTACAATACCCTTAAACCCTTCAACAAAAATATGTTTGCAATCGCGGTCCAAATTCTACTTGCCACTGCCGGTGAAAGACTGTGGCGACACAACTTCGTCTACTCGAAACACCATGATTAGTACTGTAGGCGCCATGCACCGCATAACAACTCGACTTGGTTCTGACACGATGGCCTTCTTTCGAGCTCATTCCACTTGCTTTTGGCTGAGCTCGTCGGCAAAAGAGTGCGTCAAAAAAACGGCGCATGGCCTTCCACCCTCGCGTTCGCCGTCACCGGACGGAGCCGTACGGTTAGCAATTGGACTTCCGCAACAGTGACACCCCCGTCACACCATTAACAGGCTCAGAAGAATCTCCATGCTTCTTTAAGTATGCCTGCAATGTACCTTACTTTGCCGTCCAAAGCAGTTACGAAGCGGGAAGCAGCATGCAGACGATGTCAACGTCATGAGCATGGTAAGCCAAAGAACCAACATGGTCTTGCAAAGTCTGCAAGATCTACGGCTTCATGTCCTTCACTTCAATTCTGCAAATGCCGGGGCTGCTGCCTATCACCAGTGCGGCCAAAGCAAGGAGACCTGCTTGTGGAGAAGCTCAGCACTTTGCACATGCACCAGCGTTTGAGGCTCACCACGCCTTGATCCAAGGAACTCATATACGTCTCAAAACCACCCCAAGCGGAGGCCGCATAGTCCTTGTTGGCCAAGGCCTGCAGTATGCCGCAAAAAACGGATGGCTAGGCATGGCGGCATGACCACTGCTGAACCTCTGTCACACTCGCTGACCAGCTCGACACCTGGTCCATCATCGCCTCCCAGTTAGCACTGCGCAGCATGTGTTGCGCGAGGCATGCGCGCCGCCGGCTCCAGCCTCCGAGGCTGCGGTCGCCGCGTTGCGGTGGGGAGGCGTGGGGTTCACAACTTCTTCCCATCAAGCCGACAACGGTCACAACGTGTCGAAACAGGACGGAACCAGAACAGGAGCACCGGCCCCTACAGTACATTGGCTGCACAGTCTGCTGGAGCATGATCCCCTCAATTCTCGATCTGTTTCATCCGACTTGTTTCGCTGGCCTCGCAAGAATTACTGCGAGCGCCACAAGTCAGGCTTTGAAGGCCGATCGCGGCACGCAAGTATTGGCAAAAGAAGTCCGATCTACAAAACATTAACATTAAGGAAGTATTCACATCATGCAGCGCGGTGGCCTCGTAGCTACAAATACAAGAAACGCGAAGCATCGTACATCTGCAAACCGAGCTTCTGATGTCGCTGCTACTTTGGCAGCCCTTGGCAACACAGCGCTTAGCCTGTAAGTTTTCCATTGACAGAGGAAGCTCAACAGCAGCATCAGGTGCATGCAACCTGCATGCCCGATGCGTCCCGAAGGATGGGCCCCTTTGGGGCTCAGAGGCGTGAGGAAGTTCAGTCCCTTTCGCTCCAGATCAGAGCAATGGCAACGTTGCCTTGACACAGCGCTGCCGACACTGCATGTCGTGGAACATCAAAGCCGTGTGCCACACACTCCCGCTCGCATCTGCAGGCCGCCTGAGCTCACGAATCGGCCGCGCATCCCACAAGGCAGTACAAATCACTCTACAAAGTCACGACAGGGCCCAAGCTCTGGCAATTCCCATGACAAGTCGAGAGACATCGGCGAAACCTGGCTCTGGTCGTTGCAACAATGCCGCAGTGGTTGCACTGTTCTCTGGGCGACGGGCGACGGCAGGGCCTCCGTCCGACCTCCCCTGAAACGTGACGGGCTCCTGTCAGCGAAGATGCCTTGCGCCCTCGCCTTCGTCTGACCCGCGAGCCGCGAGCCTGGAGAGAAAACCCTGCGGGGAGCTGCTCCTGGCAAGCAGTGCTCCAGGTACTGGTGTGGTAGTACTTTGCAGATGCGGTGTTGCGTGACCTCCTGCCAGCGTCCACGCGTAGACAACAGCGGAGGCACGTCGTCGATATGGTGCAAAGGCTGCTCTGGCCTCGGCAGCCGAGCGGCAGCCCCAGGGAGCCACATGGGAGCCAAAGCTCAGTGCTGAGGCCAGGTCGGAGGTGCCCAGGCATCGCTGTCGCCATCCTGACCAACTTTACATGACAACCGATATCTCGCCGACCGCACGGGTCCTCGGAGAGCTCGGGCAAGCCAAGGAATGCTCTGAGAGACTCGAGGATCCGTGCCTACACGTGGCGCTCTCAAGATGCCCGTGGCGAGCGTGGCTTCCGAGTCGACGACGGCCAAGTAATGAGGAATGCCACAGACGGAGCACTGGCGCCTGTGGCATGACTCACGGCTGCTCACTCCCAGCGACCAGCCCCGTTTTGCCTCGTGGCTCCGCAGACTTCCTGCCAGACCTCACAACAAGGCGAGCCAGGCTATCTGTGACCTGCTCCGGGATAGAACCGAAGCGAGCAACGGCTTTTCCTTGCCTCAGCGTTGTGGAAGACAACTGCCAGCATCGCACGCTCCTGGGCCCGGCAGAAGTGCGGCGTCACTGCCGCACCAATTTCGTGTAAACAGCAAGCATAAACGTCTCACCACAACTAGAGGTATCGCTGCTGTCGAAACTTGGGCGCCGACGGTTTCTCTCACTGACCTCTGCCTGCCCCCACGTTCCGCTTTCTGCGGTGACTCGTTGGCAAGCTGCAAATTGAGCCCTGGACGAGCCATTCGTTTGCAGTCCTGTCAAGAAGCAGGATCTTGTCAGACTGCGACGCTGTTACCACATGCACTGGCCTTCCGCCGCAATCGAATCCAGTATCAAAGCGACCAGGCGGGGCTTCAAGTTTTTCCTGCTCGGCTTCTGAGATCGGTTTTTTGCCCCTCGCGTGTCCATGTAACTCACACGCAGTTCTCCTCAGCTCTGGCGCAGTCAGTGGCTGCGGACGCGAATCGAGAAGCTCCGTGATTATGTCATTCACCAACCTGCTCACTTTGGGATTTGTGGGTAGCCGATGCAAGGAGGCCCTTCATGAAACAACGTCTAAACGCTAAGCGCGGCCAGCGTGCTAGCATCGTGCTCGTACGAGTCTGAGGCGCCCACAGCCTGGACGGATATCGGGAGTCCAGCTCTTTGCTGAGCGAAGCGTCCCAAAGCTTTGATCCATTCGAGCCTTCAAAAAACCGAGAGAAGTCAGAGAAGGCTACCTCTGCCAAGCCGGGTCCTGCACGCAGCTACGGCAGGAAGCAGCAACAGGACATACTGACAGGGGGCTGTTGGATGGAGCGGAAACCGCAGGTGCCCTTGGAGCAGAGCACGAGAACACTGGCCTTGGCTGAGAAGATTCTCGATCGGCAAACATGTGCAAGGAAGTGCGGTGGAGCAAGCGACAGTACTGCAATCCGATCAAATCTTCACCGCGTTGCATCGTCTGCTGACGAACTGGCGCTGCTCGATGTGTACCTGTTTCTACGCTGCCTCCTAAGAATAGTCCACGCTTTGTCTTGGATGCTTAGGGGTGCATGCCCGCAGCGTCGTACCAGCAACGGGCCTCAATCAAAAGCGATGAAGGCAAGGACTTTGACAAGGAGTCTTTCAGCTAGCAGTCTCAGGATCAATCGCAAAGCACACAGGCTCCTTTCCTGTTGCAGGTGCTTGTTGGGTGTGTCTCAGTGCACCTCTGTGTTTCTCGTTAGGGCAGCCAGGGTTACCCTCATGTGGACAGCCAAGATTCTTCCAAACAGTTCCCACAAAGCGCTCTTTCACTTCTGGCATGGTTAACGGTGACGATTCGTCTGGTTTTCGTCTGCGGTCGCTCTCTCCCTCTCGCTCTTCCCCTTCTGCTTTCTCTTTCTTGTTATTCTTCCACTGGCCACTTCGGCAGACCTCGCCACCAAAAAAGCAACCCAAACTTGGAGCAACCATGCCAGCAATAACTAGGCTCTCAGCATGCCGCGCATGCCACACCCACTTCGGGCTGACATTGGGGCGCCTCAGTCTGAAAAAAACTTTCTGACCCATCGACACCCATGTCGCCCCCACCATAGCCGAGCCGTTTTCTTGCAACAAAGCGATAAGAGCGACTAACGGCACGCCGCCGAGCGTCGTCGGGTTATGGTTTCAACAAATTATGCCTCAGCGTCGTACAGCTGATGGGAGGACTGAGCTTTCCCGTGCTTGCAGTGCAGTTGCTGGGAAGAGCCGGCGCCTGTTGCTCGGTCACAGCTGGGCCGACGACTTTGTCACTGGTGGTTTACTTGTTCTACATGGGAAGAACTCAATCCTTCCGGCATGCTTTCACTACCTCATCGATCGCTTCGAACTGTGCTTCGAAGGTCGCTGGGAAAAGGAAAGGACGCAGATCAAATCCTGGGCGAGGACACGCACAAGAACCAAAAACCATGTGTCAGGGCTCAGGGACAGCGATGACATATGGCATGCCAGATACGACTACGACATGATTATTCAGCAAGCCACGATTGTCATCGGGAGAATAGTTCTCCGCATGGTACGATGGTGTCAGCGTAGTCATCTTATGCCTGTTGATCGCATTGTAAAAGTAGAAGTCTTTGACCTGTCCAGGCTACTCTCCCTTTGTGAATTGACCCCCAACGCCCGTCACTGCATGTAGCATGCAGCGCCAACCTTCTGCGCAACCTTCTCGTCGAAAGACTTGGGCTGCTCTTTGACCCTAATTGAAGGTGTGATTGCGCGGTCGTTATCCTCCAAGGGCATGACTGTGGCAAGCGGAAATGGTTCAGAAGCAGACGGGTGACAGTCCTGAGGGCCCGTCCAATCTGCGGTCTTGTGGGACCACAGCTGGCGCAGCTTCAAAAAAGTGGAGAGCGGGCCGCATTTCTCCACCTGGCAGGTTTACCAGCCACAATGCACATCATGGGAGTCTGAGAAGCCACCTTTCGAAGATGTCCTAGGTCTCCCAGCTCATCCTCGGCTTGACACGGCATTCCACTCGTCATGCGCAGATTCTTACCACTCTTGCATGCATCTGAGACGCATAGGACATGCCCATGTCTTTCTCATCACTTTGCTCCTCCACCTTCTTCCCCCCTTCGATCTGGCATGTCAGCTTGGATCCAGCGGAAATAGATCGTGCCCTCATATGCTCTGGTAGTGTGTTGATTCGATGCGAGATGATGGCACTTGGTTGTGACTGACAAGGGTGACGAGGGCTGGTGACAAGCAGGTCTGGCTGCACGATGCGACACTGCTAGGCTAGCCGCTAGCCTACCAGATCACGAAGCATTTCACGACAAGTCTTTTCCTGCACAGCTGCTTCTACAGGGAAGCGGCAGCACCGTGAAAGCCACGGCTATCTTCTTTGGTCTGCCTCCTCAGAACGGAGGCGTTGAATATACCGGAAGGCAGGCAACACCTCGGCCTCCTTTCCCGGATTTTGATCCGGATGAAGACGTCGAACCAGTTTGCGCAAAAGTGCGCGGCGTTCCTGCGGGCCCCCTGCATCCGCATCCTCGATTTCTAGCCTGATGCTTTCTACTAACTTGGCCGCTGGTGTTCCTGGAGGCGCTTCTTCTGCCAGCTGTGCTTCTGGGCTTGGCCCTGTGCTGGAATAGAAGTTACCGTAATAGCTCTGCTGGCTTTGACTTGACCACTCGCCACGCTCTCCCCGCGAAAACCGCGGATCCTTAGGCATCTGAAAGCCGCCTTCCACGAAGAGCTTCCCCGCACTCCGAAGCTTCTCCCCAGCATAGCGCAAGGACTCGGCAAGCGGGTTTGAGGATTGGCCGAGGCGATCGGCGATACTGAAAAGGTTCCGGGACAGTCCCCGGAAAGACTGCCGTGCGGAAGACCACTCGCACTCGGGGATCGGCTCCTGGCAGGGATGGCTCGGCTCGAGAAGGGAAACGGATGAGTAGAGAGCAAGATAGATCGGCAGATCGATTCATTGATGAACATGAGGAGGTGGAAAAGTCCTAGTAGTATGGACGTGGAGAAGCAGACAAAGAGATGAAAATTGGACGTGCATGGCGGCCATAGGAAGCAACATTCGCAAAACGGACCGCATGGGCAGATAACAACACATAGAGAAGCAGATAGCTAGTTAGTTACGTGGGTAGATGGAAGGCCGGTAGATCGTATGGAAATTTATCGTGGTTACGACTTAGTTGGGCTCTGCATGCAAGACCGACACAGACAGACAGACAGACAGAAAGACAGACAGGCAGGCAGGTAGGCAGGCAGGCAGGCAATAGACATAGACAGACAGACAGCCAGAGGAGAGGCAGAGAGAGAGACATGTTGCAGATGCGGGTGCGTGGCTATGGTATGTGAGGAGCCATGCTCGAGAACCGAGAAGACAACGGGCATTCGAGTGTGCATTGTACGTCGGGTGGCTCCGCAGGGCTCTGCACCTCGTAGGAGAAAAGATCCACCACACCCTGCATGAAGGCTGAGGGCAGGTAGCCCTCGCAGGAAACCTCAGTTCAATCTGCATGCGGGTGGTCGTAGAGGATACGATTCCAGCATCAGCGGCTCATGTCTGCAGAAGGTGCTTCAACTAACCAGTGACGAAACAGCAACAGCAAAGAGATAGAGATAGAGAAAGAGACAGAGCGAGCGCGAGACAGCATGTGAGAAAAGAGCGAAAGTTCCTTGTGTTTCTTTTTTCCCCCACAAGCCAGGAAACAGAAGCAACTTCTAGCTCCCCCATGGCATTCTCCCAATCATCATCCAGTATGTTGTCTGCAGCATTCCGCAGAGCCAGTGCTGCTGAACCCAGCCCCAATGGCGAAAACTTGCGACTGTTACCATCGTCGGATCTTGGAACCAGACCAAGGGCGGCCAGGGTAGCACTGACCTCCAGCAGCTCGTCCGCCGCAGCCCAGAGGTTGCGGCCCAAAGCTACGAGCAAGTCGTCAGTGTCGACAGCTTCGGCACCCCCTGTGGCGCGCAAGCCAACACGCCCATGGCGGACCCACGGGCCTTTCGCTGGCTGGAGCCATGCTCCCCCAAGGCCAAGGATAACCACAAGAGCCCAAGTTGCCGGCCCTCCACTCCGAAGGTTCATGGCTGCCATGGCCCATATGCTTCGAGGATCGTGTGCCTCTGTTTCTCTCGTGGCAATCGCGCGACCTCTCTCGTGGGTCTGATGGTTCTTAAGTAGGAGGTGACAAAATCTACATGCCATTTCTTTGGAATTCTTCAGCCTGGCTCCCACTTGCACACCAGTGGCTGAGCAGGGTTTTCTGCTGTGAAGTTGCCGGAAGCCGCTCAACGGGCAGAGACACAAGGCCGTGCCTTGTCAGGCCGTAGCTCTGCAGTTGGAACTGCATTCGCCACCTTCTCGAGCTCTCCTCGGCGAGTGCAGAGTTCAATCTCTATGACTCCATAATGGATTGGAGAACGAGTGTCCTGAAAGCCTTTGGGGGGGGGGGGGGCAGGGTAAGATCGAGCATCATCTGATCCATGCATTCATTCATCCATCCATCAATCCATCCATCCACCCATCCACTGCCCTTTCGACTATACACCGTTTCACAAGATCCTCCCATAAACCCTTCTGGAAACCCGGCTATAAGCCCTTCTATACACTTCTTTTCTCACTATGCCCTTCTGTCAACCATTCTGTACACCCTTCCAAAACCGAAGCCCGCCTGCAAACCCTTATATATAAGCTTCTCTATAAACTCTGAACACTTCTCTAGTAAACACTTCTATAAGCCCTTTGCCAAAAACGACTTCTATAAACCCTTCCAGATTGCAGAGACCCTTTCACACACCCCTTCATTCAACCTCCTACAAATTTCTCTCACGCAGGGCAACATTCCCAGTGCCTGGCATACACCCTTCCACAAACCCTTGATCAAGAAGCTTCCCCAAATGTTCTGGTGGATTCAAACACATGATCACCTTGCTTCCCCCGAATACTGGCATTGAACCCATATGCAGACGTTTCGAGGCGAATACGCAGGGGGCAACACAGACTCGCAAAGCACCCAGACACGCCAGTAACGCCGAGAGGGCTGTCATTCCGAGACCAACGTCATCGCACTTACTGGAGGACTCGGGCACGCCGGTCTCATGCAAATATGAGGCCAACATGTTGGAATTGAAAAAACCACAGGATGCGTTCGCAGGATCGAAATCGCCAACGACGGCAGAGGGTTGCCAAGTCCGAAGACGAAGCGTCACAGCACCACACAGCGATGCCCACTCTGGTTGGTCAAGGCCCCTACTTTCAAAGTAGTGCGTTCAGTTATAATTAAGAGATTAAGAACCGATCTCACGACCAAAGGGCCAACACTCTCACGAAAACGTAAGGACCAACGTCCCTAAGACCTCACATCGTGCCAGGCAATCTCGCGACAACCCAAGAGACAACCCATCATCATCATCATCATCATCATCATCATCACCATCACCACATCAACTTTTTCGCATCATGCCATCCAAACCACCTCCACGGAAAAATCCTTCGCCACGCTTTCGGAAAACAACCTGGCACAAAATTTCGACTGGGCCACCGATTCCTTTCTCTTTGGCGGCCCATTTCAGAAAGGCCTTCAAGTCTCGCTTGTTGATTCCTCGCAGACATCAGGATGACACTGCTCTTCAAACGAAAGCAAGTCTCGTGGCGCATCTGAGCCCGGTGCCACCAATCGGATTGATGTCTGCCGCGCTGCAGTCATACTTGGTGTAGTATCCACGCAGGGCTTCATCCACATTTGCGGAGCCTATGAACTCTGGTCGGCAGCAGGAATTCGAGGCTTCCGGTCACAAGAGATTCAAGCGAGGGGAGTGACGGTTTCTACTTACGACTGGGCAAGAGATCCTTCCTGCACCCGATGGCCACACCTGCTTAAAAAGACTGCTGCCAGGATGCCCAGGACCAGCAGCGAGCCCCAACCAGGCCCGACCTCGCCCTTCATCGCCTCAGAGGCCAAAACCCCCGAGGCCTCGCCTTTCGATTCGACGCCGGCCTTGTCCGTCGCCCAGGGCATGAGCTGCGCCATGAAGTAGGCCATGACCATGCCTGACAGCAGGAAACAGATGCCTAGCTTCTCAGCTCGAGGGCCCACCTCCCAGAAAGGCAAAGTAGCTCTAACAGTAGCAAAGCGATTTGAGAAGAAGCGGCGGCTTCGGGCTTGGATGTTCTGCAGGGCGATGTCCTCGGTGCCGCTCTGATTCCATGTGGCATCAGCCTTCACCTGGCAGGGTCTCACAATGCCGAAGTGCGCTGCCCCCCCCCGCCCCCCCCCAGCAGCCGGTGCCTTCGACTTGTCAATCTTGTCCGATTCAAACTGGCCTGAAGCACAGAAGGAACCCTCGCCTTGCCCCACTGATGCAAAGACATCCACGCAAAATGGCCGAGCCACATTGCTGAAACACCTTCACTATTCCATCAGTTATCGGCCGAATCGCCTCATCCACAAGTTCTCCAGGAAGCTTCGATTCAATTTCTGTGCTCCATTGAGTTGCAGAGATACACAGAGTTTGGAAGCTGAGAGGCAATTGAGGTGTGGTTAGCACCTATCTGCTTCGCCAGGTTTTCTGCTCGTGATCTCGTCTCCGATCCACTATGCTCCTGAAGTGAGCAGGCTTCAACTCGGCAAGTTGCCCAAGTCTCTTCTCACGACGAGTCGCTGAGGCCATATAGCAAGTGACGAAAATCTTGCCGCAGAAATCCTCCGAGAGCAAAGAAGAAGCCCAAGCTGAAAAGAGCCGATCAGGCCTGCCAGGAAGGCGGCGTGTAAAAGGGCCGGCGGGTCACCTTCCGAATGTCCGCGAGCACCAAGGCCTTGGACCTGCAAGCTCAGAGATGGTTGGCTCCGGGCCCTCTGCTCTGAAAGCGATTCCCTCCCTCCCGCTCCCCTCTGCTCCCCTCCGCTCCGCGCCGCCTCTCCGTGCCTTCTGTCAGCTCGCGAAAGACTCGCTGACACCTCCAAACTAAAGCTTGCACCTCATGCTTGGTCTACTGCGGCACTGAGGACAGCACATGATCCCAACCAGCCTGGCACCCACACACCAAAAAAAAGGCATGTTTGTTCTCAACCGCAACAAGCGTCGACATCACGCTCATGTTTTAAGGGCAGGGAACGCTGCAGTGGAGGATGAGTCTGCCCCACCAGACAGTGGCAGAAAGTACCCTCGTTGCCCAGATCGCCGAAGGTAGTCCCAGAGCCTGGAGCATCTCGAGACTCCACGCAGGATAGCTCAGCAAAGGCTGCTTTGCCCCAGCCCGAGCACAAGCCCATGCTCACCACGGGGCCACGCTGACGGTCCGTAGGCGATCTCTTCCATCGGATTTACGATCTTTGGCCTCGGGCGCGGTGCGAGCAGCTGGGCGGCTGGCAAGATTCTCGCGCAACCCCGTGCCGGACATCTGCTCTCCGAGCGTCTCTATGGGCTGCGATTCGGAAATCGAAAGCGGATCCGGATGGCACAAGCTAAAGTCAACCTTGCCGGTGGCCCCAACCCGCATCTTTGCAAGTGAACTCAAGATCGGCCTCGACTCGGTGCACCGTCGGTGTTGAAGATGCTTGGTAGGAGCGAGCTATAAAGTTGGAACGCATGGAGCGCACGTCGTTGAGATTCACAGTCGCAACCTGCTCACGAAGACATCAGACTGGCAAGCATTGCTTGGCGTGGACCTCCTCTCACACCGGATGATGTGCCTGCTATCCCCTGCTAGAAGCCTGGCTGGCCATGCAAAAAGCAAAACTCGTGCTGTGCAAGGCCACGCAACCACGACCTCTATCTCGTCCAGCATGCCAAACTGAGTCCCTTGTGCCAGCAACTTGCCATTGCTCCATACCATGCAGCAGCCGTCAAAGTAGAGTCGGCCTAGCCCACTGCTGGCAGCCAAACCCTTTAGCCAACTAAATCAGAGGGACAGGATGACTTGCATGTCCTCCATCGCAGCCCTTCACGTTGGCGTAGAGGTACCTTGCTGACTTACATTCAGGCTTCGTCTCTGCGGTCTTGCGTATATGTGACAACATTCTTCGATCGGAGCAGGCTGCACTCCGCCGCTCTTGGACGTGGCTCCCCGCACGAGGTCTATTCGCTTGTCCAGCTTCCTTCGAGAGACGGTGGATCGTGGCGACAAGATCACAACTCACAGGTGCGATGGCCTGAGCTGGTGATGGCTGCCGGAGCCATTCGCAATGATTTCCACACCTCGCCGCATCGTGGGCGCGTGCAAGAGATGTTTAGAATGTAAGATCGCGGGAGAGCTCTGACGTCTCGATCTCTCTGCGCCCCGGCCGTCCAGCGCCAGCTTGATGTGCGGAGCGTCCGGTGTGAAGAGCTCCTCGCAGGTCTCCGTCGCGAGGCAGGTGTCTTTCGTGGAAACCGCGAAAATTCCTCAGGCATTTTCATGGCATCTCATGGCATCTAAAGACCGGCCTCAGCTGCCTTCCGACTGCATCCCGGACTCCAAAGGGAACTTTGGCATTCCCGGTAATCTCTGCGATTTCCCGTGGCAGGAAGTATTCTTCAAGCTCACCAAACCCTTAGGGCCATCAGGCTGGGGCAGTTGCCAGACTGAGCCAGGGAAGCCGGACATTTTGAGAATTGCCTTCAAGGTTCCAGGATTGCCGGGGTCTATGTGCCAGGGCGTGAACCAGCGCATCTCGCGGTAGTTGCCATCATTCGCTAGAAAGATCTTGGGCCGAATACCCAGAATGCTTCCTCAGGATCAAATGAGCTTAAGCCATTCATGTCAGAAGGCCGGTGCAGAGAGCAACATGTGCAGCCGAAGAGACTGTTCACAACCCAAACTCGGCAGTTGTAGGGGACATTTCTGTGCATCACCTCATAGTTGGTCACACAGGAGGCTGCCAATGGTCTGCATCAGTTGAAGCGTTGGGTGTGAGCCCGGCGCTGGCATACCAATGTCGCAGAGAATGCCGTCCGTCAAGTCTGTTTTTAGCAGATCGGCCATTGAAGACCATGCATGCCTGCACCGTGTCGCACATCCAAAACTTCGGCATGTGCATCAGTGCGATCACGATCTAAGTCTAGTCTCAGGGGCGGAGTTGCAAGTCAAGCGGCAGAAACGTATCGTTTTCAAGGAAATGGTCCTTCGTAACGCTCGTCAGAACTTCAACTCGCTGCCCAGGGAGACCCCCGTTCGCCGCTCGTCCTCGCAGCCGTAGCCTGTAATCTCCAGCTCCGGACCGGTTCGGAAGCTGCAGCCTTGAGCTTTGGCCTCCTGAAACAACAATTCAGAGCTGCACCACTCCCACAACTTCCTGTAGGTGCAAGCGCACTCCTTGATGGACTCTTTCACGCGTTCCAGATTGCCTTTGAAATCCTGGGAGGACCGGGTGGAAAGCTCTGTGCTCTTGCAGGCATGCCAATGCAGGCTGTGGCTCCGAGTAGGCTGATGCGCAAAACCAGCTTACCACACAGATTAATTTTCTCTGTTTTGAAACGTGCAGCTCACCGCTTCATATTGACATGCGGAACTCACCACTGTCTAATTGCGGAGCACGTCTCCATGGCCCATTGGTTTAGATTGCAGGTTGCAACCTTCACCTTGGCTGCATTCCGACTAATTGCGCACAATTGTGCAGCAAATCCTGGCAACTGGTCGCATCTGCTACAATCCGGAGCTGTAAATTCCCTCAGATCACTACCTCGCAAAAGCAAAGAAGTCGGCTCGAGCCGCAGGCCAGCTCGGCGGCCCCTCCCGCCTACCGCCTACCGCGATTCCAAAGTTCCCGACTCCGGTCAAAGCAAGTTGCCAGCTTCGGGGCTTTGACAGTGCTCGAGCAAAGGCGGGCCTTCCACAGAGCACTTCTCTGAAGCCTCTGCGCTCGAGTGGACTCTCTCTTGGCTTCAAGACTTCCGCCTTCTTCGCTGGCTGCATGATGCAAAGGGCCCAAGATGCCAGGTTGCAGCAACAGGCCTGGAGGATCAAGTCATCAGTTTAATCAGTTTTACCTCTCCTCCTTGAACAGGGTGCCTCTGGGAGAGGCGCCACCGGCGCTCTCTGCGAGCCGGAAACAGCTGCGAAAAGCAGAGGGGGACGTCTGTTGGAGCAAAATGCAGAAAGCAATCGACTTTCGCTGTTCGCCATCCCTTGGACACATGGCACAGACTCGTTGATTTGTTGGTGTCTCCAGGCGGTGCTGATGTGCTGGGCTTCGCGCAAACCTGTACCGGACGTGCTGCCACTCGAACCTCACAGACAGTTCATATGCCCCAGCCCCACCCACAACATGCACGGCACGAACATGGTGCCTGCGGGTCATTGGCGGCTGCACTCGGGCCGGAGACTTGACGGGCAGACCTCGGAGAGGGCCACTGCCACTGACAGCCAAGCAGAAGGAAATGGCTATGAGGCTATGATGCCAGCTACTTGGGGACTCTTGGGAAACTCGAGCTTGCTTGACACCAGCGATGGAGAATGATCCAAACCCAACGGCTGACGTCACCCAAGCGGCCAGATGCCACGGAACACTCGTACTCAGGACCTGAGCCTCTGACAGAGGCTGCCGAATTGGAGCGATGTCTCGCCTGCCATCATGCTCTGCCACTCTTTTGGAAGGACCACGGGAGCCCACACAGAAGTCACAGAAGCAAGTCAACTTCTGTTTGCGCCCTGCTGGTGGGGCTCTGTTCGCAGAGGTGCTCTGCACCATGTGAGGAGGGGTCCCATTTTGGGAAGGGAGCTAAAGCCAACAGGCATACATGCATTTTCTCGAGTGGATACGGTTGGCAAGGCGTGCGCCCTCTAAGACTGTCACGCCACGCCGCCCACCGCAGACTCCGTCGCGCAAGACATGATGTTGTGAAGTTCAACATGCCTCGGCCTCGGCCAACGATCCAGCCGGCTGCTGCAACGGAGCTGAGGGCAGTGAAACCCTAAGCTGAATGATGCGCCGACTCAAATGCTTCCTCTTGACCAAGTTTATTCCGAAAGACGTGACGGGAAGAGAACTCACACAGGTTCTATGACCCATCGTCAACTCGAGGCGCAGGCAACTACTCTAAAATCGTCTACGGAGCACGTGCAAGCAGCTGCCTATCCAATCCTGGACAGTGCAGAGCCTAATTCAGCTGTTCCAACGCCTTCCGAATTAGATGCTGCTAGGGCTTCGGAGAGCCGCAGCGAAACGCAGGGAGGACCAAGTGACCTCGAACCATGTGCAGAAAGGGTTCTGGGTCGGCTGTAAGTACTAACTGTAACTACCTTCCCGCACCTCGTCGGCTCTTCAGCCTGCCCAGGTCATCGCAGCCTTCTCGCCTTCTTGACGCGTGTGACCTTCTACCTCGAGCAATCTCCGCCACTGAGGCCTGCACCCGCACCGATTGCACCCTTCTCATCCGGCCCTGGCAGCATCAGCAGCAACAGAGCACCAAAGTAATGCTGGTCTTTCCGCCTTGCTGCGCGCCAGGCCGGGCATGGATGTCCGGTAGAGACACGGTGTTCTCGCCCTTGCTGTGTATCCGCCTGAACATGAAACATCAGTGAAAATTGTCAGAGATGGTCTCGCACAGTCTGGGATGCGGCGACGCTCAACTTCACCACTGCAGGCTGGCGAGGATGGGCCTCTCTCGCTTCCAGCTGTGCTTCCTGAGCAGAGGTAGTTTCCGAAGTCTTGTTCTATCACTATCCCAGGCAGCATTTATCGGCATCCAAGGGACTTCATTTCCTGGGCCTCTGCCTCCAGCTTCAGGGCGAAGGTGCGGAACATGTACTGCACCTTCCCAACCGGCTTGCGGTATTCTGTTGAAGTAACTGTGTAGCTGGCACTCTACGCCGATCTCCATTCTGAGGTCTTATGCGTGTGACAAAGCTCCCGGCATTCTGTAGTTGTGTCCGCTTTCCCTCAATCACTGCCCCATGCTGCGAAGAGATCATGGACCTCATCGGTGTGGTTGGCCGTCTTGCTGCTCTAGACTTGCCGTCCCCTCATATATAAGTCTGCAGCATCTTCTGGTCCAGCCGCCAGGCGTGAAAGCACCTCGCGCCGAGCGGTCATCCCCAACGCGAAAACTTCCAGTGCAGAGGCAACCTCAGCGTGAGGATCTCATCCAAGTAGTCAGATGCCTGCGTGGGTCATTCGCCATCTTCTCGCCTCTAGTATCGCACTCTTGCACCTGCTCCATCGTCTTCAGTGCCGACACCGCATTTTTCGCCTTGGTTGCTTGCAGACAGTACCCGGAATGCTTCGCACCTGGTTCCGCTCCAAACTCAGTGCTGTGCCCCAAAAGTCGAAAGCTTGCCTTGCACAGAGGACAAGCTCTCGGCCATGCCGCTGCTCTGTTTGGCTTCCTGCACACCACTCTAACGCACAGAGAAAGCCACAGCCAAACCCAGCTCCGTCCTGCAGCGTTTGAACCCAGGAACGCATGGCGATGCTGAGCCTCGGGCAGGGTTGTTCCTAAACACCTCTCCATCTGAATGGTCGAGCTCGCTCAACCTGCTCTCTCTTCTTGCATCCAGATTCAATCCAACATCAAACTGCTCTGCTAGTCGTGCACAAGTAGTCCGCGTCAGACTCCGATTTGCCTTCGCCGAGGCTTTAGACATACGGCCGGCACGTTCAGGCCTTCAGGGCCAGCCTCCTGCAGCTGTGCGAGCTTCTTGCGGGTAGTGACTAACCACCGTTGAAGCTCCTGTTCCTGCCCACAGGATCCGCCAGGATTCTGAAACATGCACAAACGAACGGGGCCTTGCGCTTGGTGCCAACCTTTCCCACACAACAAAAGTGGGGGACGCTCAGATGGGTGACCGCTGTGTCGTTTCCACCAGCTCAGACATCAGTCCCTATCATCGCACAGCCCACAGCTCCACAAATCTCTTTTGCGTTGCATCACTCACACGGTGTAAGACGAATCGGCCCCTCTGGAGTGTAGTTGTAGCGCACAAAATGCAAGGCACCCGTGACCCTTGAAGCCAATACCTGAAGCCCTGCTACATGCACCGCAACCTCACCAACGCCCATGCAGTCTGGGATCCAGACTTCCCCCTGCCAGGCCCTGATACACGCCGTGATCAGACCGGTGTAAGACACTGCCTGGGATTGCAATATGATTCGACAAGACTGCTGGGTTGCAGTGGTTTCTGGGTGCCGCGAGCTTCAGCTTGCGAGCCGAGTTGCCGTTACCGACTCAATCACTTGTTTCATCCGACCAGCCTGGAAATCAGAGAAATCCCTGCTCCTACTCCGTCCTACAGGCCCGAAAGCTCACCTGTGTCGCCTTTAGCGCGGCCAGCTGCCTCTCCACTTTCCTGTAGCTGCTCAAATTCTAAAGCGCGGATGGGACATGCTGGCTGATTACACAGTGAGGATCCGGCTGCTTATGTTGCCAGTGAAGCTACGCTACCGTACGAAAATCTGAATTCACCTGCGGATGCTGACATGACCTGTCTTGCAATCGCGCGTCTTCACCTCCAGCCAAACATCATTGTCGATCTTGCTCTCTTCGACCTCCCGTTCACAAAGGCTCAGGAAGTGAAGGGCCCGGCAAAAGCCGCATCGCCTCCTCTCGCCAGGTCGCAAACAACTCTCGCTTGAGCTGTAATATTCCCGCGGCGCTCTTCCGCCTCTTGTCAAGCTTAGCAGAGCTGAAAGAAGGGGCCCAGGCCCAAGCGCTGCACATCTTCACAGGCAGACGGGGCACATGAACATAGACCGCACCATTGCCAACTGGTCTTGCTTGCACTTCGCCAGCTGCTTCTGCATCCTGTCTTCAGCGACATGATCACGCCTTGACTCTCTTTGTGCCAACCCGTCTACAAATCAGACCCCTCGGACGACCTCTCTATGCGGTCTCTGTACTCGCGGTGCCTCAGTTGGACAGAATGGCGGAATAGCGGGCAACCATTTCTGTCTGCGCCGACAAATTTGCAGGCAGGGAGCACAGCAGTTTCAGATTTCTCGCCTGCGAAAGTACAAAAGGGCCGGTGCTCCTGCTCACGTTGTACTCCCATGTTCAGACAAGTCGCGTCGCATGATGCAGAGCCACGAAGCGAGAACACTCCTGAGGAGAGGAAAAGAGGGCAATTGGCCGATGTTGCCCGACGTGATTGAATGGAGGCCAAGGTTCTTGAGCAAGGCGGTCACACTTCCATGCAGGAAGGTCGCCACCACTTTCTTGGCCTGACGAGCTGTTCGAAACACGCGCAGTGACAATGCACTAAGCCACGGCTACGGAGAGCACCTTCTCATTCTGAGAGACGGTGTTGTTGTGCAGGACAGCATTAGCAGCTGCGAGCTTCTTCTTCGCAGCCATGGCTTCTTCCTGCCCTGGCAGGCTGGCAGGCTGGCAGGCTGGCAGGCTTGCTCGGCAAAACACCGACGGCCGCGGCCTCTGACGAGCACGGAAAGCTTCAGCTGGGACTCCTCGCAGCTACGTCACGAGGTCCCAGCTTTTGTCTACGCATGACAGTCAGGCCCGTCAGGCCTGGATCCAGGCTTTGTGTTGCAACCCAAGTGTCATCACGTCGCTGCCAGCCTGGACAGGGAGGAGACAGTGGACTGCGAAAAGCCGGAAAACGGTGGTGGAGGCCTGGACGACAGCCATCTTCATGACCTACGACGGGAAGATGCCGGTTGTTCGAGCACGAAACGCAGGCCATGCCACCGAGGAACGTGTGGCCCGACATTGGACAGCTCGACGTCATCTAAGGCTTGTGAGACCTCATCCGGCTTGGCTTCCTCAGGAGCAGCTTTCTTTCACACACTGTGAAACACACTGGAGCGGAACTGGAACTGTGCGAAAAATGTGGAAGGGTGCCTCCAAGCCCTTCCGAATCCGGAGAGCAGCAGACCTGTCAATCCCAAGCAAATGGCACCAGTGCAAACAACTACTCCCCTCCGACTCATTACTCGGTGGCTCGGCACTACGAGCTGGAGCTCCAGAAAAAAGGCTTGGAACCTGCCAGCAAAAGAAAAAAAACAGTGGAGCATCCTGGTGCAAATGACAAAGTGCTCAGGGTTTCTACTTCGCTTCACAACAACTCCAAGGGGCTGCTCGCTGGATTGCTCTGGTATCTTCTGAACCAAAGCATCTATCAGCCTCGATGTCAGTTCCATCTCAGGAGCTCCCGATGACACTCGCCAGGGGACCCCTCTTCTCTCAGCCTTACTGAGCCTCCCACTCTGAGTCGCCCAAGCCGGACAAGTGCGCTTCGTCCTCCGGGCTCAACTCGACCTTGAGCAACAGCCACCAGTTGGCACTCGAACAGGCAAAGCGTGCGTTCTGGGCCGTGGTAGACCGCGAAGTTCGCTGGACTCCAATGTCCGAGGGATCGACACCATGTTGGCCAAGCAGCTTCACCGCTGCCTTGTCGAAAGCACTGCTGGGATGCACTGCCATACGAGGCAGGACACGAAGGCTCAGGACTCACTGGAGAACCACCCCAGCATTCCGGGCCTGTGCTGACTGGTACCTTCAGGTCAACAAGCTCTCGGCTCTGCCATTGCGAACATCAGCGCCACGCCTGTCCCACTTGCAGGCCAGTATCTCCTGATCAAGGAGAACTGATAATGCGAAGCCACGCCGCACCACGTCGACTGAATGACACGGATTGTTCTAAGCCAAGGCTCGTGAAGCTTTCTTCGGTGCGTCGTCTCCAGGAATCCTTGGCTCGGGCTTCAGCAGCCTGCAAAGTGCATTTTGGCCGATCCGAATCGGATTCTTGCTGCAGATCGAAGCTGCTGGTGACCATAAACCGGATGGCATCCTGACACGCCGTTCCAGCAAGCAGCTAAGCCTTACGCCTCGTATGATCCGAGTGAAACGCAAAGCCTCCACTGTGGGTAGATCGAAATCCTCTGGTCGCTGGGTCAACTCCTCTACATCCTTGGCAGTCTTTGAGGCCAACACTGTGGGAGAAATAGTAGCGACATCAAGATCACCCATGCCAAGGTACCGCGTCAGCCATCTCCCCTGCGGGGAACTTCTGCTGGCTGGCCGAACAGTACTTTGGGCCAGCTCCAAGTGCGGCTAAAACAAGACCCTTGGGCCTAAACGGCAGGTCAACATGCGAAAATGACTTGCATTCAGCATGCGCTGCCCGAGTTGATGAGGAGAGATTGAAAGCTGCTCCGTCTGCGTCTGCAGCCTGGGCTGCGTGGTGAAGTGCTTGGATGTGCGGTCCAGGCATCCTGCCCGCAGCGGCAGGCAACTAAAGCACATGGAAGAACGTGGACGCATCACGGGGCAAGCTGCCCCAGACCCGTTGCGTCCTGTGCTTTGCATGCGCAGCAGCCTGGCCTTGGCAAAGGGGCAAGAGCATGTGCGGCTGCCTCTGCATGAACGCCGGCAGCCAAGTGGCATCTGGCTTGGCAGGCGCTTCTCTCGGTCTGCGAACCTGCGCGAGGGCCAAACCAGACGCAAGCACAAGCAAGATGATGCCGTTCACCTCCCACTCTTGGTGCCACGTCGCTCATATTTTCGTCACACACTGACGGGCGCATTCAGAGGAACGGTCATGCGAGGCATCGCTCTGTAGGCTCTCTCGCGCTCCTGGGACTTGGTAATACTTGGTAAGGCTTGGGTCCAGCCAAGTCTCTCTCGACTATCGACTGCATCAAAGCTGCATCCATCTCTTGCCGCAGAGCTCGAGACACCTGTCCAGGCTACAGGCTGCGTCTGCCACCTCACCACCTAGCATCCAGGAATCCGGTACACAACCTTTTCAAAAGAAGACTTTCGATGGCTCCCTTCGGCTGCAAACTCACACCTTTCCGCCAGCATGACAAACTGTCTGACAAACTTCGGGGTTTTCATGTCTACCGGGTCTACCGCGCCCCTGACAGCCAGAAGAACCCCAAGGACCCCAAAGTGTCAAGGGCCTCTGCGCGGACTGGGTTTGCGAACTCGCAGGACGCATCGGAGGCCAGGGACTGCACTTCCGGCGAGGGGTGGCCTGGAGAGGAACCGGTTCGCGGCTACAAGGCTTTGCAGAACTGTGACAGCCTCTGTATAGGTCCTTTTGCTCGCAAGGGTGGCAGAAGAAGGATTGCAGAATGTAGCGGGTACCTGCTGTTCTCGTGCTCTTAAGTCTGTATCAGAAGCACAGAAGCTGGCCTTTGCCGGCGTGACGCGCATCGTGGACGTGTGTATCCTTAGAACATATGTAGGTGCATGTATGTATGAATATATATATATATATTGATATATTGATATTGATATTGATATTGATATTGATATTGTAGATATATAGATATATACATATACATATATATATACACAGAGAGAGAGAGAGAGAGAGAGAGAGAGAGAGATAGAGATGGAGATAGAGATGGAGATAGAGCTAGAGATCGAGATGAGATAGAAACAGAGCAGAGATAGAGATGGAGATAGAGATAGAGACAGAGATAGAAATAGAGATAAAAATAAAGTATAGATAGAAATAGAGATAGAATTAGAGTCATAATTAGAGATAGAGACAGAGACAGTGATAAAGATCGAGATAAGGACCCCACAACATAACCAGCCTGATTAACAAATCTAAGCCTGTTTCTCTCTTCGGTGAAGTTGTGCAGTGCCAGCCCCTGCGTTTGCCAACCGGCTTGCCGAGCATCGTCCCAGATGACCGTCCGCCCAGCACCCCAAGGAAGACTTCGTGCCGAGCCCACGTTGAGCACTGCGCCGGGAGGCGTCACCAACCCGAGGTGGGCGGCAAGGCGACGCGAGTTGCCTAGATGCCTCGAATCGAGGACATGTCGGAGAATGTCCGAGAAGTACAGGGCATCTGCATGATGCATCCGCGGGACGGTTTCAGCCACGCTCCGGGTTCAAGCCTTGCGAGGAAGGCCGCCGCTCGGGGACAATCCGCGAGCTCGGGTCGAGAGGCCAGCAAAGCGCAACTTCGCTGGGCAAAGGCGCACCTGCAGGCCAAGCATGCTATGGCGCCGCTAAACCTTCTGCGGCGCTAGGCTGCGAACGTCGGCAGCAACAACGACTCATCTCTGCCATCAAGCAGTTGTATGTGGCCGCGCGTGTCCTGTGCATGGCCAAGCTCAGGCCAAGCAATCCCAGGCTAAAGAGACAAAGACCAACAACACCGCAGCACTGGACCTTCGCATGAATACTGATCGAAGTTCTGTAAGAGGCAATCTAAATCTCTTCGGCAACAGACCGCATTCTCACCATGCTGGCATGTGTCAGGCGGCCACACTGCCAGCCCTTCGGCGTTGCTAGCTGCCCGTCGCAACTGTTCGAACAAGCCTTCCTGGCGGCAGCGAGATGTGAGCAGCACCCATGACTCTCTGTACGATCTCACTAAACAGCATGGCTCCTCGGCCAGAATGCTTTGCAACTCTTGAAGAAAGACTTCGAAGTTCGACTCCAGGAACTCGGCGTAGGGAAAGCTGCTTGATGGCCAGACTGCTCCAAACGTGCGCGGGTACAGCTCGTCATTCAGGGCCACATGCGAGGGAAGTCTCCTGGTGCCGGCGAAGGGAGACGCACTCTCATGCATCATCATGATGCAAACGCTGCATAATACAGACTTGTCTCCAACCAATGGCACCCAGCATTGCCTCACGCGGCGTCTGAGTCTGATCCATCCTTTCTTGCTAAGATCACTATGAATGGCCAAGGCAGGACACATCAAAGCCATTGCAGCCGGAGCAGCGTGGTAAGGGCTCTCCTTCATGAGTCGAAATGCTTCCTGCGCTGCGCGGAGCACTCTTGCCGACTCCTTCAGCTCCCGCCCTTGCAGGGAGGACAGGACTGCAGCTGGATGCGGGATATCGGATAGCACTGCAATGCTTGCGCGATGCTGCTGAGTACTTGCGATGCAGGGAGTGCCACTGGTGAAAGAACTATAAGCCTGTCAGAGCAGTTGGAGACCACCAGAACCCCACACTTAGGTTCATCATGGTTCATCGAAGGTTCCAGGGACAACTGTGACCACTGGCAACATTGGACTGCTGTGCGCATCAGCAACCGTCGGCAAAATCGGTTACTGGTGCTTCCGTAAACGCTCATGCCCACTGCAAGAAGTGTCTCCTGCCCTCCCTTTGCCTTCGGCGAGCGAGGCACCGAGTTCGTTCTGTACCAGGAACAGCAAGGCCAACTTCTGCTGGCACATGCCGACGAGAAAGCCTCTCATTCGAGGATCAAGATAGCTTCCGTCACTTTGAACAATGGCAGGTGCAGAATTCTTCCGGGAAGCTCTGGGGGTCCTGGGCAGAGTCCAAGCAGCGGCTGAAGGCGACAGACACCTGGCGGAGACACACCCAGCTCTGCGGTCATAAATGGCGCAAAGCCAGGCGAATTCGATGCAAGAGTTTTCCGACAGTCTATTCTGCAGGACAACTGGGCGACTGGGTTAAGCTGAAAGCCTGGAGGAGCTGTTCGGCCAGCACCATGTCCTCGATGTTCAGCATGGCTGAGGGTGGCAGGCCAGCGTCGGGATCCCAGTCCTTCACAAGCGCCGAGGTGTACTTAGAAGCCACAGAGGAACCAAGCCCGTCCTCCCGGTAGAAGCAGAAGTGGTAGAGGCCATTTGCAATACCAAATGCTATCGCTGGCCAGGTGGTCAAGGCAGCCCGGGCCATTTCTCGAAGCTTGGGGGTCACCTGCGCCAGGCCTTCAGGGACGAGTTGGCATGGAGCTGCGCAGCCACGCAACACATGAGTGCATTGCCCTGGCACCTGTCCCCAAGTGGTAGTACTCCTCGAATAGAGACTGCTGCAGCAACTCCTGGGTTCTAGACGAGAGGCACTAGCTTGCTTCTGCATCCCGCTCCAGGTCACGGCCTCTCTCTGCCGGACTCTGCCCCTCCTGATTGCGAAACTCATCGCTCGGAGAAAGCTCTGGCGGAGTCCAGGCCGCTGCCAGGAAAGGGAACCTTCAGACTGGGATGAATGGAGTTCACGTCTTGTGGACGAGGCCGAAGTGCTGCAAGCAGGAAACAAGGAACTGCGCATGGTCGCACCATGACAGAGGCGCAAAGTGCCGGGCAGTAGCAAGACAAATGCTCATGTCATGTCTCACGGTGCTCTTGCACACAGTCATTTAAATCAGACTAGTCGCTATCCGAATTCCTCATGCCGATGAGCATGAAAGGTTCTTGGGTAGCGTGTTGTTGTGTTTTCTGTGTTGTATGTTTGCGCTCGTAAAACCATACTGACAAAGGCTGCGGCCAGACCGTTCGATTTTCGCGACAGGCTCCGGCAAACAATGGCAGAGGGTGAAGAAAACAGGCTACATCACGTGGTTTTTCGCTTCTGCCGTTCTGCCCATGTTTCGGCCGATTCGACGAGTTCAGCCCTCTCCACACACTCAAGCCTGAGCCCAAGTGGTTGGCGGCTGACGTGCCGCTGAGCTGCGATCGGGCAACAGCCTTCGGCCCTTCGGCCTAAAGGCCTTGTCGGGCAGTCTGCTCGAAACGGAACCGAGGCTCTGCCAACTATTCGATGACGCCGTTCGTGATCTTTAGGGATGTCTCGGACTCTCGGACAATCTCGGCCTTGTCGATTGCACAGACCACCACAGACCTCTGTCACCACGCTCATGGACTGTCTTCGGCAGACCACTCCCGTGGGAGATACAGAGTCTCGTTGGGCAGCGCGAGCCAATCCTCACAGCAGTCACGTTGGCATTGCAGGAAAGCACTAGCAACAGCAATGAAGCCGAAAACGACACCGGCGACTGCGTCCTCATAGCCCTGCCATTCAGAGCTGTAGTATATGGATGGCAAAGCAGGCAGCCGCAAGCTCCTCAACCCTCGGATTTTCATCTGCCATGGATCTGGCACATGGCTGGTGGATGAGATGCTAGTAGTGGCCGAAGCACGCACCGGGTCATCCTCAACAAAGGTGTACCAAGCTTCCTGGCTCTGCAGGCCGAGCATCCTCTTGCAAACGTCGCACACACACACACACTCACTCACTCACTCACTCACTCACTCACTCACTCACTCACTCACTCTGCATCTGCCAAGGGCTGTGCTTATGACTTATGACCATTCAGTACATATGCAAACTCTGTCGTCCTCGAGACCAGGCGCGCCTTGCACCACAAACACGTTTAGAAAGTTGATGCATGTGCATGACGACGGTTCTCTGCACGTGCTGCACAACTAAAGTCCTGCAGATATGAGCGCCGGAGCACCTTGCTAAATGGTAGGATGCAGCCAAGGAAATCATCCCAGCCCTGCCACTCTTCCGCGTACATGGCCTCAAGACTGTCACCGTCGTTTCAGCCGTCCTCTGCTACTGCTACTTACTTGCGGAAAGGCACTTCTGGGTCACTCGGGACATAGGGTCCCAAGAAGGGCGACTTCTTGCCCTCGGCAACCCATTCATCCCATTCTTCGCCTCAGCCGCAGCTCTCCAGATCTTTCCTGTTCGATTTGAGCAGCTGTGGGGCCCCGACGGTTCCCGAAGCCGATGGCCTGGACGCAGCGGCGCGCCTGGGCAGCCAGGCAGCCAGTCCCTTCAATCTCTTCTCATCCCTTCTTCTTCTGCCGATGTCCAGAGTTGGGCGACCTCATCGAAAGGCAGCACGCGGCGGTATCGCTTCCGCCAATTCGGTCTGCTGGCATACGAACCTCAGCTTCCAAGAGCACAGACTCTTGAAGGATGGCCCGCCTGACTTCAGGAACGTCAGGCATTGAAGCAGGATGAAGACATGGGCTCTGCTTGTCGAGGTTTCACACGGCCCAAATTTGCTTGGGAAGCTGCTGCTGTTCGCTGCGCCACTGGCAGGCTCCTGCACAGGTTCGCCGCTCCAGCCCCAAGGCCCGCATAATTAGGCGCGGCCTCTGCGGCTCCGGGCAGAGAGTGCACGACCAAGTCGGCTGCACCCCTTACAGCAAGACAAGCTCTAGGACTCTAGGCCTTCGCCCTTCCCCCACCTTCTCGGGTGCCACAGCCATGACCCGATCCACACCTGCGAGCCTCCGAGCAAAGATGAGCCCGTGTCGCGATAGCAACCAGCCAAGGATCTGGGTCTAGGGTCTCTCTAAACGTTCCGCTGGAGCAAGACGTGTGATCCTTGGGCTCCTTATGGCTCCTTCCTCCCCTGCTTCCGAGAAGCTCCAAGCCAGGGCGGCTGCAGGCAAAGCCAGCCAAGCCAAGGCGCTTGCGGTTGGCACTCTCCGGTGGCTTCGCATGGAGCAACGCGGCACTTGTTAGGGCTCTGTGACACACAAGACGGTCTGCGACCGCTCTTGACAAGCCGCTTCCCGCGCATTAGACGGTGGAAGCTTCAGTCAATCTATTTACTTTGTGTGTCGGACTCGCTGGCGATTAACTTTTGACGAGTAGCCACTCGTGAGCCGAAGGCAAGCTGAATCTGGAAGCAAAGCGCAAAAGTGAGCAGCATACAGCGGCGCATCTCCACAAACCCAAAGAGCTTGCAAATGCATTTTCACTTCTGAGCTTCACTCAGCTCCAACTGGCCTGAGCGCCCCCCTGCAGGATTGTTCCATGGCCAGGTCCACAGTCCTGCTCTCGGTCCGCAGTCCCTTGTGGCCCTGAGGGCTCTGCGTGTGTCTCCTGCACGAAACACATGGGAAACTTGGGGTCAACAGCCGCCAGCATTTGGCACGGCCCACTCGCCGCCCTGCAGAAAGGCTGACCATGGCTGACCAGAAGTCGATGCTTTTGGGCCGCACTACGTTCCACTGCCACCATAGCAAGAGCCGGTGCTCTGAGGACCAGGTTTGGACTTCGTGCCGAAGGGATCCTGCTCCAATCGCACCAACTCCGGTGCAGGCGAGCCTGCGTACGTGATAATGCGGACGTCCAAGTCCTCGTCTTGGAGACACGCGAAAGCACGGCGCATCGCATCAGCAATCCATGCCATGTGGTTCCCGAAGACGCCACCTCCAAGGCACGTCAAGAACCTGATGACGAAAGGTACGACTACGCTCAAAGCAACAGAATGAAAGACTTAGCTAAAAGCTCAAAAGCCGAAGCACACCCTCCGGGAGCCATCTTCACCACCATGCCTTCGAGCCTGGAGGAGTGCTGACAACAAGGTTGCCTCGTATGAGGCCTCCAAGACCAAGCGTGCCAAAGGCTCCCAGTCTTGCTGCGAACTCTCCTGAAGCACGACCGCGAGACGACGAGGGACGAAATGGGACGAAGAGAGCCCCCAAAGCAGTCCAAAGCCCGAATTGATCCAAGCATCTCTGTTGCATGCAACTGAGCAGGCCGATCCAAAGACTTGGGTCACCTGCTGCCCACTGTCCTTCACTGCTCGAGATCCCCAGGCAAAAGAGGTGACCTGCACGTCCGCGTGGAGGCCCACGCGCAGACACTGCCGCAGCTCGTCCAGCTCTTCTTCGCTCAAGCTTCGGAGCACGGCGTTCAGGTGTGCTAGTTGCCGGTGCGAGGCGAGCGTATATCCCCCACGGACCTCAAGAAATCGGCTTCCCAACGAAGGGCCGGAAAATCCATCGCTTCCCCTTCGCCGCTTCGCCGATTTCCTGTCGATCTCGACACACAAATCCTCGAGGTTATTGATCTGATTCCGACTTGCTTGACCTGTCTGGCCACGGACCGGAGCAAAGAAGTTTCGATACGCCGTCGCAGGGCCACATGCAATTGAACAGGCCGGACCTTGTGTGCGGTCCCGCACGTAGCCAGTGATTCCATCTTCTGGAGTTACAGACGGCCCCACAAACTCCAGGCAGTTGAATTGAGATGCCACCTGAAATGTGGCATGTCGATTTGCGGGAAGTGCATGTTTTGCTGCCACGTCCCCAATCTCCTCGGCATCAGGCGGATGATCCACGAAAGGGCCATCATTATGCGCACGCTTGCCGTGCAAACCAAGTTTCTGTTGAGACAGACAGAACAGCGGACACACTGTGATTGACCCTCACGATAGCTGAAATCTAACTGCTGCCTACATATCTTGTCAATAAGCATGTCGCTTAATCTGTTTGAGTTTATCGGCTTAGCCTCTTGCAATGACTCTTGCAAGTACACAGTGGGGCATCGCTCACTGCATCACAGGCGGCAACTGATGGGCGTCTTTGTTAGTGTTCGTGCCGGTCGCATCACTGCTCCCCGGCAACCCTGCTTCGGTTAGAGCCTTCGTGCAGGATGTCCGCAGACACTCGTTGAAACAAGCACTGTGACGGTAAAGCGTGACCGCAGGTGGGGGGCCTGGGTAGCGCCGGGTATGCACGAGTATGCGCGAGTATACTCGGAGTGCAGTCGCCCATCGCGGCAACAAAGTAAACTTCTACATCCACCGCTTTCGACATATTGATGGGCACACGCAGATGTTCATGAAACCCGCTAACGACTGACCGTGGGAGCAGACCTGACGCTTCTGTTCCGCCTTAACGCCATCTTCTGTTACTGGTTCGCTGGCACTCTCGGTAACCGTGCATGGCGTAGCGCCAACTTCCGGCAGTCCAGTCGTGAACAACCACACATGGTGTTTCTGGTAAAGCGGTGGTGGCTGTCCGATGCGCCTCCAGGCTGTGAAGCAAAACACTACGATGTGCGGCGTGACACGGCGGAAGCGGCCGGCATGGTAACTCACCGTTCAAGAAGCTCATGGTCCAAGCGAGCTCGCGTCCAACAAAGCCTATGCTACACATTGCTACACTGTCCTTTCAGGATTCGTTCTGCACTTGGAGTCGCCCTCGCCCGTGCTCTCCGAGGCTGAGGAACTCTGCTCGAAGCTCTCCAAGGCCTGCACGTGACGTTGAGACGAAGCGCTCTGTAAAGTTGCCCCTGGGCAAGCCTCCTAAGCGAGATGTCACGGCCAAGTGTCTGGGAGTTCCGAAGCTGCCCACGCAGTAGCTCTTCTTGTTCACCAAGCTCTCAAGAAGAAGCCCCGAATCCGACCCATGCACTCTCAGCAGCTGCTTGGTTCTGTCATAGTCCACCTGGTGCACGCACAGTTGGAGGTTCTGAAAGGGTCGGAGGGGGTGCTGATCCCTGCGCGGCCTCTACGAATCCGAAGAGTTGCTCGAACCAGTCTTGCACCATGGAAGCTAGGCGCAGCTAGGCCCTAGGCTCTCTACTGGACCAGGCGGGGGGGAAGTACCCCGAACTGCTTGACTGCAGCTTGATCAATGTCGCAGATCCAGAGAACTAGACACGACCTCATTCAAACTCACAAGCCCAAAGCACGGCTCCGTGCAGAGGAAGACGGATTTTTCCTGACGCTTCTTGTGAAACCATTAAGTCTTTAAGTTCCAGTCATAATGTTCAATTGCCTCACCTACGAGCCTCTGCAAATTCAGCTGGCCTGCGATCTAGAAACCAAAATTGGCATTGTTGATCGGATAAGCTGATAAACAGTCGCCTACGCCAGCGGACGTGGAAATCTGCCAAGACATCATGCCCCCTGCAGTTTTTGCAGGTGGAAACAGCAGATCGTGTGTCAGATCTCGGCGAGCGCCGGTATGAAGGCTGCGGCTTTGACATGCACTGAAGCTTCGAAGCTACGCCTCCCCGAGATCTGCGTCCAGGGAACAGTCGCACTTTGGGGACTGCCAGTTCCGGTGACTTCCGGTGCTTTGCCGGCACGCCAGAAAGAGAAAGCTCTGCCCTTGTGGCCTCGGCTTGGGCCTGGGGCCAGCTTTTTCCCCCCCCTTTTCTTTGCATTCTGCGCACTGAGCCGCTTCGCGGCCCTCCTTTGAGGCGCGGCGCCGACCCGACCCTCACATCCCTGGATCATCGCTGGAGGCAGGCCAAAGCCCCAGGATAGGCGCCTCGCTGCAGGCGCTTCTCCGCACCGAAGGAGCTTTCGATTTTGGGTGAGCCTGCCGGAACCGTCGTAGGGACCACGACTCCAGGCTCAACCTGGCACCACACTCCGGGCTCTTTTGCCTTTGTCAGGATTTGCTCGTGATCCTGGCCTCGACCACGAGGGCCGCTCCCTCAACGGCACCGTCTGGGATGGTGAAGACCTGGAGGCATGGCGAACGGGCCATGCCTGACTCCAGGCCACGGCCCTGGAAGGTCGGCAATGATCCTAGTCTGAGGCGAAGACGACATCACGGGGCAGGCCAGGCTGCCAAGAGTTGTGCCACTCCTTGGAACCGTCGCTACTGTTTCTCCCCAGTGACATCTTGCGGCTGGCCGGAAGCCAGGTGACTTTGACTCTCTCGGCAAGTCTCCAGGCATCAACTTGGCGCCAGACTGCATCCACGACTGCCACTCTCACTAATTTGAGCTAAGTGTCGGTGTAAGAGATCTGCTTCACTTCGTTGCCCACAGCATGGAGACTCGCGTAAACGGGGATCTGCCCCGAGCCCAACCGCTGTTCTGGCAGACAGGTTCGTTCGGCACAGGATTCGGTCTCACATGAGCCTCGCTGTACTCCATGAACACCCCCCTATCTCTCCTGCCACGAGCTCAAGCGGGGCGTTCGTGAGCACTGGTGCTCCGGCTCCGGCGCTCAGGCCTCAGCCGTCACCGTCACGGATATCACCCACACGCAACATTGAGGTGGGCATGTCTCGAGTCCGCGGCTCATCGTCTTCACCTGCACGACATGTCACGCCGATCGCAACTTGGCGAAGCCCAACCGGCCTCTTGCGCTCCGGGCAAGCCGCTGGACGTGGAAATCGGAACAGCAGGCAGCGGAGTGGTAGACACGGGAACAGCCGGAGGCAAGGAGGCACTCCCAGGACGTGTGACCAGCGTTGGAGCTGTTGCAAAGGGTGCCCCACCAACACCGGGGGCCAACGTTCCGCCAAAGTGCACATACCCGCCGTAAGCAGCAGGATTCCAAGCTCCTGCGACCATTCCTGCGGCCCCAGGCTGTGCACTGATCTCGATTTGCGGTGGATCCACTGGCACCTGACGACATCGAGACAGAAGGAAAAATGCTTTCTGCTCACCCTCCCAGCCTTGTCAAGTGCTTCACTAGCCATGAGTGGTCGGCTCTCCTCGTCTCCCTCTTCCTGCCCAGATCCACGGAAGGAAAGCAGCCACTTCCACGGCAATTGCGTTCAGAGGGCCAAGCACACCTGGTTTTTCGACGTCACCAAAAGATACCGAGTGTTCCTTAGCCTCCTAATTCAACAGTTGGGTGCGCGGTCGGAGCAGAGAGGCCAAACGCGACTGATTCCTCCTTTGCGCCGCGAAGTGTTAGTTTGCATCGCATCACTTATTGCGCAAGTGCACAAGGGTTCTCAGCCCCTTTTTTTCCACGCACTGTCTGGAAGCTGGCACCGTCTATTACTATTCATGTTCTCGTTCACGCGCCGCAAGCTTAGAGTTCCTGCTCGCGCGATTCATATGCTACATCGGCCGATCAACCCGCACTTCATCATCCAAGGTCATGCACAGAAGTTGAGTTCAACATGGTTCGAGGCAAGTCGCTGCACTATGGAGCGGTGCGCAACATCGAAGACATGGGAGGGCATCTTCTTCTTCAAAAAACACTGCACATTATGATATGGAAAAGGGCGTGAGAGTCCCCCGCAGGATTGTGAGGGGGACTGCCTGCCACAAGAGCACTCGCCAGTTCTAGCCCCAAGGACGAACTGAGAGGCAGCCAGCTACATACAACTAGAACTGCCGCTACAGACATGGTGCAGCACGGCAGTTGTAACCACTGGAAGACATTGGGGCCAGTGGCAGCTTGCAATGTTCGATGACATGGCCTCTGCTTGCAACGTCACCTTGCGCTTGGTCGCCTTCTTGCTGTGGCTGTGCCTCGAAGCAAATGTTAAGTTCTGAGCGATGTTGAATCTCATGACTGCATTTGTGCTGGCCGTGTGCATTTCGGCAAGGTCTTGCCTGCTGCCCTTCATCATGGAGCGGAGACACACACCGCAGGCGGCAACCATCAGCAGACCGGCCAGGGCAACCATGATATTGACCTGAGCCCGCTACGCATGCTGACACCGTTTGGCCTGGTCCAACGGACTAAGAATGCGTGCAGAGGTCCAGGCCAAAAGGTTGTTGGACCAATGTGAGCCCGAACTCGACTCGGATGCTGCTGCTCCCAGTTCTTCTCCTGTGCCTGCCTCTCGCTCTCGCGTCCCCAAGTCTCCTTCTCCATCCAAGCTGTCTGCCGACCCCAAGGCTGTTCCAACCGTTCCTTCTGCAATCCCGCCTTCCTGGCCTGTTCCCACCCCCGTCACAGCCACTGATCCGGCCACACCCCCTGCATTGTCATCCAGAGCCTGGCCAGTTGCGCCTGTTTTGGTAAGGCCTAGAGCCGCGCCCTCCAAGCTTTCACCGAGCTCCTCCGTGCTTTTGGCCAGGCTGGCTGAAGGACCAAGCTCTGCACCAACCTCTGCAGCATTGCCACCAACCTTCCCCGGAAAATGCAGAACTTGTGCTGTCGATTTGCAGAAGAATGATCACCTTCTATAGCAGGCCTCTCCCTGCTCCAGCACCAGTCGCTTGGCACGATCTCCTTCCTGATCTGCTGTCGCCTGGGTGAAGCCCGTGTCAAGGGCCACCTGCAACACGCAATCTGCGAATTCTGACCCCACTCTCTGGAGCCACGCGCGCCTTCTCTGCTGCGTGCTTGGCGCTGTCGGCACGTTCTTGCAAGTCCCCAGGCAGCTGCCGTGCCACTTCGGCTCCAGCAATGCTTGCCCTTGGGGTCGGTTACAGCGTGGAAACAGTAAACGGGATTCGCCAAGCGCCAGAAGAGCAGAGATACAGGGCACAAACCTGTCTGAATCCCATCTAGGGTCCGGGCTGGCGTACCTGGTCCAGTGACGAAATCAATGACGTGCCGCGCAACACTTAAGGCATCTCGCAACCGCCTGCTCCCGAGTGTCGAAGCCCTTCTCTTCGGACCTGCAGCAGAAGTCTGGCGAGGGACCACATCTTTCAAGCTCGAAATTGAGCCCTGGACGCTTTCTGGGCTGCCTCAGCTGCTGCCAAGATCTCATCGTCCAAGCCTTAAGGCTGGCGTCGGCAGTGGCGAGCAATGCAACTTGAGAGGGTGAATGAGGCATCAATGAAGCTCGGAACACCGCTACCACCGTTGCTCCCCGACGTCTTGGCAGCATCCATGGATGTCGCCAGTATCTCCTGCCATCTTGTTCCTATTCCCTCGCATTTTGACGACTTTGCCACCTGTACATCTCCATCATGGTTCGTTTGTTATCCTCCTACTTTTCGGGCCGGAAATCCGTGCAGACCTCGTGACCCTCCCGACCCCGTGCGAGCGGAGCGACAGATCACGACTGAGATGCATTTCTTGGGGGAATTAGGGCCGCTCTTCGGGCCCAGAGTCGACTTGCCTTTTCGCCGACGCGAACTGTGCATTCTAGCAGCTTGTGTCTGGTGCTACTTGGTCTCCTTCGTCGAATGTATGTTCGGCCTCGATGTCCAGATTTGTTTGGTAACTGCACAGATCTTCTCACTGCTGTTAACACAAGCGAATCCGGTCTGTTGTGCCAGACATTTCTGTAATCCTCACCGTGCCTTGAACTCCAGCTTTGCATCAACGACGTCCTTCGTAAAGGACTGGTCATACCAGTCAATTGCCTTGGCTACAAACCGGCCCAGATCGCTGTGTATTTGTCGTGGGGGATTGTTTGAGAGGGACGTGCCATGTAATGCTTCGCTGTCTTGTGATGTGCCAGCTCTCGCACATCAGCGCTTTTTGGCATGTCGCGACTGGCAGTGCAGTTCAATTCCAGCAGTTTTGACAAAGCCCGCTAATCAAAGCCTCACGTGGGGCGCGCGGAATGACCTTGCCCACTGCAATGCTACAAGCATTGTGATCCGGCATGTGCACATCGAATTGCACGAGCCTTGTGTTTTGGTCGCCGCAGCACTGTGAGCGAATCACGGCGCTGCAGCGGCAAATGTTTTTTTTTGGTTCCTACCAGGCGGGTGCAGTTGTGATCCCGAGCCTTTGCACCACCATGTGTCTACCTACAAGCTGCAGTTGACGAGCCTGCTCGTCTCAATGCTGCATGGCCTCCTCCTCAATCAAAGGGTAGCAATTGCACAGGTGCTCAGACATCAACCGGGGGAAGGCAGGCGCTGCCAGCCTCGTCTGCATAGACCATACCGCCACCTCGACCGTCTCTTGCTCCGAAAGGTGGAGCAACACCGAGACGTGGCATCTCAGTGGTCGCCAGCCGTCGCCAGCTGCTCTTGTCACATGTACTCTGAAGGAGAAGCCAAACAGAACTTAGCGTCCCTTCGTGTAAGCCGAGGACATTCAAGGCATTGCGATTCACCATGTCGATGACGTCGTCACTCGGCTCTCCGCGCAGCCTTTCAAGATCCACGACCATCGCAGCACTGTCATCATGCATTCTGGCAGCTTCTGCACTGCTGCTTCGCCAACCCCATTGGAACACGTCGAGCCCGATTGCCCGAAGGCCAATAGACATAGCTAGGACAACTCAACACCCTCTCGAGGCGCAGACCATGGATGCTCCAGGGCAGACTTCGCTGAAATCCTCAAAGGCTCAAAGGCCAACTCCACTGATGGGCTGCGGACTGGCCCTGCCCTATCTGTCCTGTCTTCAGGCAAAAGGTGGAGCCTCGGCGAAGAGACACTGGGATTATCTGCTTGCGAGGCATCGGAAAGCTTGGGCGCAGGCATTGGCAGAAGAAACGATGCCAAATTTCGAGCCTCGACCTCGTGCATGTGGTACTTCTGCAACAGCACCTCGGCCAGGGGCCAGTAGCGCAGGGACTTGATGTGCCGGAGCTCGCCACGTCGGTTGAAGTAAGTGTTGGAGCGCCGGCCCCGGCTGATCAGGTCTTTGGGCATGGGGCCCAACAGCTCAATGAAAAGGGCAAGGTGGTCCTCGTCGCGGGGATACTCATCTGAGGCTTTGGGGTCGAAGAGGTAGTCGCCGGTAGCAAGCTCGAAGACCATGCAGGCCAAAGACCAAATATCTGCGGAGGTGTCATAGCCTGCGTTAATGATGGTCTCGGGTGACCGGTATTGACGAGTCTGGATATCGTCCGAGAAATGCCTCTCCACCCAGCACGCATTTCCCAAATCGGCCACTTTGTAGGTGACGCCGATGTGGTCAAAGAGATCCAAACCCAAGACTTCATCGATCAGCTTCTCATCAATGCCTGCAAGTGCCAGATACCACGCGTTCTGCTGCAGGTCAGGCGTGCTACAATTGCCCCTGCTCTCATTTAGCCAAGGCACTGTCCGGCGTCGAAGCGGATTGGCCTGCTGCCGCAGCGGCGGCTGCGGCATGCGCAGCTGCCGCCTGCGACGGCGGTGGCGGCATCATCGGAGAGGGCATCTGATGAACGCCCATCTGAGGAACGCCCGGAGCACCCGGCATGCCCGGCGGCTTCATGTGATTGTACAGAGGCCGGCTCATTGCCACCATGTCATCACCGTATGAAGAAAGCAGCGTCGGATCAGATCGCGATGGTTTCAGGTAGGGCTTCATGTATGGTGGCTCGTTCAGCCCAGGGTTTGGAGCTGCCTGCATGGCCTCCGGCACCTCGGAATAGTTTCGCCCTGACTAGATCCTACTGAGTCGCCTGCCCGTGAAGAACTGCAAAGGCAAAGCGGCAAACAAACGTGTTACGTGCTGGACATCAACCGACACTACAAAAGAAAATCTGGAACAATCTTAGCCAAGGCTTCCGAGACACCAGCACAGGTGGCGGGCGGGGAATCGCTTCTGCCTCATCATCCACTTCATCGTCAGCATGACCTGAAGGAGCCGCGGATGCTGAATACAAGTACAGTAGCACGTGCCGAACGCGACTTTCAGCAACTATCACAAGTACATGCCTTCATCACCATCGTACTTTTTATCCTTGTCCTTCTTTTTCCCTGGCTTTTTCTCTTCCTTCTGAAGTCTTCCATCCCGCTTGGCCGCAACCATTGCAGGATCCACATTGCCCACAAGAGGTACTCCTTGCTTGTTCACGGGCACCCCGCGAGGGCACCCAACCAGCACATTCTCAGGCTTTAGGTCGGTGTGGATGATACCACACACCCTGTGCCTCGGTGAAAAGAACGAAACATGTGCCAAGGACACCAAAAACCACGGATTCGGCACTTGGCATCACGGCCACGACGGCTCTGAGCCGAGAGCAAGTAGTCCAGGCCGATCAAGGTGTGAGTCGTCACCTTGCGCACAATATCCAAGGGTATGCCCTTGAAGTTGTACCTTCGATGCGAGCGGCTCTCAGCACCATGCTTCGCTCATCTGCTCCGACAGTTCCTGGCCTCTTGATCAGAGCGAGCACGTTGGGGCCCATTGTCTCAAACACCATGCAAACCTGAGCACAAACGGCCATCGCAAGTGCCTGCAAGTTTGGGCGCGTCAACTCTTGCCATGCAGCGTGTTTGCCGTTGACACCGAAATGCTCGAAGTAGTCCTGAAGTCCAGGCAATCCAACACAATCTATAAGCTTTCCCTGCCAATAGTTTCGAAGTTTCGAAAGCCCAGTGCCCTGTGACGAGCCAAGGCTCTATCAGCTGCACCACTCCCGTGAAAGGAAGCTCAGGAAACAAGGTACGGCTTGGGCCCTTCTGTGTCTCCTCACGCGTCATGCGGTATGTCACTGGATCTGACGAGTAGGTGCGAGACATGCCTCCCAAGCTTCGTCTTTGCAACGCTTGGCGGCCTAGCAGAAAAGGGCAGAGCCGAATGCTCGCTATCTGCCCGCCCTGCTTCCAACTGCCTCGGCTAGGAGCTCAATCTCGTCGTATGCCGCCTCTGTATAATGAGGTGCGCTCTTCTGCACCTGCCATGTCATCGCTCGCTTCAGGTACATGGCATCTGACTCGTGCCAAGCGCCTTCATTGCCACATAGCGATGCTGTGTGAGGTCCTGGCTAGCCACTAGTGCATTTCAATGACTAGGTTCTTAGGCCCAGGCTTGTGAAACACTGGGCGATGCGTCGCTTCTACGCACAATGCCCGACCCTCCCCCTCAAGTTCAACCCTCTTCTCCTGGCAGAGCCACACGGTGGAGAAATGTCCCCATCCAAGTTTCGCTAAGACATGGTACCGCCCGTTGTAAATCTCGCCGACATGCACCGGGTGGTAGCCGCCCTTTCCTTAAGCACGAACGCATCGAAACTGCAATTACATCACCCACAGCCTCGACTGGAAGCTGTTGCTTCTTGCAGCTTATGCGGCGATAGCCATCGGCACCTTCGTCATCGCTTTCTGTGTAATCCTCGGCGTCTGCTGCGTGAGCCTCAGCCACGGGAGCAGGGGTTGAGCAGAGACGCAGCTTTCCACACCGTGCCTCGTTTTTCGCCATTCCCATCATGTGTCCCAGACGGCCCCCTGCAGTGTCAAGAACGTCGCGTTTACTTTAGTGCTCCACGCGTCGGTTCCCCCAATGTACACACCCGTCTGAGGCTGGGGCTGAGTAGAGACACTCAGACCTCTGACCTGTTGAGGTGTGCCCTCAACACATCCCTTGAGCCAAATTTGGTTGCGGCAAGTTGTCGCGGAGAGGAGACAGCTGTGCAAATTTCGGGCATCCGTCCTGTTCAGGCTTGGGACGGGTTACTGAGCCAGCACAATGGAAAGCAACTGGTCGAAAGTGTCACTTGGTTTCACCGAGCCACGGCTGCCTCGCCGATAGCAGACCATTCTGCCTCCACTCACATGGTCATGTATACCCAATTCTTGCCGCAAGCTGGAGACTCCAAGTTTGTCTCTCCTTCGCAAGGTCCTACCTGGACGTCAGCTGGCTTGCCATATAGCGCAGCGACTTTATGCATTGCCGTTGCCACCGATGTGTACACTTCCTGAACATAACCGCGAGGGCAGATCAAGGTAGGGCAAGCAAAGGTCTCCCACAGATATCGTGATGTGATGGCAGGTTGCCTTCTTGGTGCCTCCAGCTCGCGCAGTGACCAAAGCAGCCTCTTGGGACGCGATCACCAGCTGCCTGAGCGGTGCTGAGCTTGAATGGGTCGAGACTTGGGACATGCTTGGGCGGGGCCCATCGTTCTGCAGCCTGGTGGCTCATAGGTTGTCAGGCCGCCAGCACCCTGAACCGTGTCTGCAGCATCAAGCGCCATGCGCACCGCATAGTCTGCACGATCCTGCACCTCATTCAGCAGGGCACTGGGAAGGGGCGGTGAAGAAGCGGCGAACCTTTTCGCATTTCTGGCCGAGCACCGTTTCCTCACGAGCTGTTGAGAAGTCTCCAGCAAGTGCACCGGCGGCATACATGGCCTGAGACTGGCCACAGAGTCTGCGTCACGTGAGATTCCATGGCGGGCACGGGTACCCTTGGCTCCCCCGTTGCCTGCTGGGCCTGCACTTTCTTGGAATAGTTTCCGGCGACCCAGTCAGCTGCAGCTTTGGCTCCCTTCAATATTTGAGGTAAGACGCCTCGGCTGCAGGTTTGCAGCTTGCAGAATCCCAGCCGCAAAATGTCTTTGCTGCTGTGCTTTTGCTCTCTCTCTGATTTGTTAGCGCCCCGGGTGTGCAAGACAGTCTGAAGCGTGTCCGAAGCGTCACCACGATCTGCAGACGTGAAAGACCACACCATCTGGGCGGTTTCCATCCCGAACTCCTATAATTTCTGGGATGTCCATGTCCCGAAGCTTCACGAGGATCGGTGTTAAATGCCGGAAACGGAAAGTGTGACTCCGGTGACAGTTGACGCCTTGAAGATGCATGCAGCTAGAAATGGATACAGCACTACTTGTTACTACCTTTCCACATGCTCACTCACATGGTCTTCTATACTACAAGCTTCCACTCTTTATGCCAAGCTGTATTTTGCATACGTGTCTTCTTGACAACTTTGCAATATTGTTGCCGCTCCTACTAGCCATCACAAGTTGCACTTGTCCTGCACAGCGTCATGTCTAGCATGTCCGCCTCGGGAAAACACAAAGACTGCTACATACTAGAACCTGCTACATATCAAAGCATGATACAATCTCCGACATCGGTTGTTCTATTGCCTTGCGAGCTCTCCTACCTCTATACTGCTGCAACTACTACTTTAGTATTAATTGTTGTTGTAGCGCGTTCGTCATTGGCTTCCTTTCTAGCCTTTGTCTCTCACATTAAGATCAAAGTATATCCAACTTGAGGTACCATATATCTCTCTGTATGCTGTTTATGTACCCGATGTGCGCAGGTAGGTAGGTGGGTCAGTTAAGCAAGTTGTGGTAGGCAGGTTAGGTGGGCAGTTAGGCAGGTAGGTAAGTTTGTGGGGTAAGGTTGGGTGGATGGGTAGGGTGTTGAGTTGGTAGGCAGATAAGCATTTGGGTTAAGTTGGCAGGCAGCTGTCTCCACTGCAATGCATACACATTTAGACACATGTCATGTATCAAATATCTGTGTGTTCAGACATGTCTGCCATTAATGGTACCAGCTTGACATTCCTTTCCACTGTGTGATGGCTGATAGCTTCTCATGTCATGAAGCGCGCATTGCGGGTGCGGCCGCCACCAGAGGATATGCACAGATGCAGTCGTTGACTCCTACCCTCTTGGGCCTCTATCTAGGCCTGTTGGCAACCTGCTGGCATTCTGGCACAGGCTCCTTTGGTAGTGAGCGACCAGACAGAACCAAACGACCGGTTCTAGTTTGTAGTTCTGTCATCGTGCTCTTGCTTGTTTGCTGGCTGATTGCTGGCCTTCTTAGCCGGGGCACTGTTGCCATCAATCGTGGATCTTCTGACTTCCACTTGCCCCACAACCTCTGCGACGACCTGGGCCTGCATCGCTTGACAGACACAGGCCGACCTAGCGCACCAGCTGCTGATTTTTCATGGCCTTCTGCACGTTAGAAAGGCCCAAATTCACCTCGCAGAGTGGCTGGTGCTGGCGAATTGCCGTGAATGAAGGCTTCGGTGGCACGCTAGACAAGAACTGCAGAACACATAGCCTTGCGGCGAACAGATGTGTGTACGACGGGCATTCTGTCAACACCAGCGCAAACACACACACACACACACACAAACACAAACACGTCCCTGACACATGCCCGCGGCCCCTCAGACTTTCGGCAGAGCCACGCCATTCTTCAGCACCGTGACGACGGAGACATTGGCCATTTGGGCAAAGTTCTTACCTTCAGCCTGGGCACGACCTTGGCAAAAAACAAAAGCAGGCATGCGTGGCATGCAGCATGCAGCCTTACCCCCAGCAAGTTACGTTGACCATGTGACCCTTCGCCATCGGCTACGTGATCATTGCATCATCTGCTGTTAACTTACCCGTCTTAACCACTCCAACAGAGACGTGCACCGGACCAGACCTTGAAGACCGCACAAGCCGCTGGCAAGTCCCGAGGCTGAAGCTGGCCGCGTTGACTCCAGAGGTCTGCACCATTCGCAAGGCCTCCGACAAGGACGTGGCAGCACACCTCGGCCGGCGGGCGCGGGCCAGGCCCTCCTTTTTCTCTCTTTCGGGGGCTTCTTCCGAAGAAAAAGCGGGGGCTCGCGCGTCTTCGGGCCACTGACCACGTTGGGCATGATGGACTCCACGGCCTGGTTTCCTGCCAATGGAGCTGCAACAGTTTCCGAGTTTCCGCAGCTCGGCCGCGCCTTGGAGAAAGCACTCCTTCGTGTCCGTGTGGTACGTGAAAACCTGGAATCAGAAGCCACAGGTTGCAGGACGAATGCACCAAGGCCTCTGCAGCTGAGAAAGGGGGCATCACAAAACCACATTCCTTTGCAGGTCTCCTCACGACATCTTCACGGAAGCACTGCCCATCTCTGGCACACATGTGGCCGTCCCGCCTGGCAAGTCTCGGCATTGTGGGTATAGCCGCCGTTCAGATCTTTGTGCCAAGAGTCTGTATAGCCCCAGCCTTGGATGCGAGACTTGGAGGTTCTTACAATGGTGCCAAACCACGTAAAGAGGGGGTGAAGGTTTACGCCACTTTAAAGCTACAGTAAACGGGGCCCTGGAAACTGGAAATGGCCCCTCACAGGGACAAGAGACCTGAAACCAAGCAGTCGTGGGTCTGCGCAGAGGCTGAAGCAACTAGAAGCGGCGTCAGCAACTTCATGGCCATGTCGCAGGGAAGGTTGCGAGCTCGCTAATTACAGTATACAGCTTAAGTACACAGGCAGGCTGGTATGAAGCCCGTGGAAATGCTACAGCATGACCTGAGGATGACAGCATGTCTGACTACACCGGAAGAGAAATCTGCACACAAGCCAGATCAACGCCGGCTGGATATCTCCACACGAAGCACCTGAAAGGCTTGCAAAAGCGACAGGCAGCTGGGCACGCCGGTTGCGCCATGCTCAACCCACTTGTTCAAACGAGGAACAGGTGAGACTCCGGGCATCTTTGACCACGGATGGTTCAATCTCCTTTGAGATAGCTAAGCATGTGCGACACCGACGGCATGTTAGCCATTCGATTCAAATTCTGCGTTGGCCTGGTCTTGTGAGCTGATTCTAAGGCTGTGCGGCCAATAATCAAGCCAGACTTCAACCACACATGATGGAACCCGTGCAAAGACAAGATCAGGCATTGCTTGAACGAGAAACTTGGGAATGCGGTGCCCTGCAATTCTGTCTTCCCACTAGGAGTTCGCGCGAGGGCAGGCCCAGTGTCTGCACCCTGGTTATCTTCTCGGTTCTTAAGGCCTCGAGCTCCATCCATGTTGAGAAGGTATGAGGAGGTGCACGCAAGCGGCATTATCCGACCAGACACTTCAGTCTCAGGTAGAAGATCGAAAGACAAGGTTGATGAGGTGAACTCAACCCATCAGGATGTGCAACAGTGCTTTCAGTCGAACTCAACAGGTCAATCAATCTCAAACCTCGTCAATCTTTCCATACGTGCGTTATCGCCTCAAGCTCAGCATCATTCCAGCATGTGCAGATTCTGGGACCTCAATGACTAATGCTGCATGGAAGACTTCACTCTCATGCAACACATCTCCTTGCTCTCGAGGTGCCAGGGTGGGAACTGCAAAGCCGCCACCGACATCGACAAGCAGAGTGGACCCCGGTTTGGCTCCGGGAGGAACCTCAAAAAGGAACAAGAAACGTGGCCTTTCCGGCGGCTGCAATGACACGATTAAAACTGAAAACATCAAGCTCATCGCTTTTGGACTTCCTGCTCCAGTCTAGACCACTTCCATCGTTCCCGGTGCCTGGTAGGTGACCTCCTTCTCTTGCCCAGGCTGCCAACTTTTTTGCCAATCTGGAAAGGCCAACCTCAGGCAATCAAAGAGAGCCTGGGCCGCTGCCCCAAGCTTACAGCCAAGGCTTGAGCAGCTCCGGGCCCTGCGGCATCTGCAGCTGCGTCGAAGCACGCCTGGGAGCTCCAAGGAGGCAAGGCGGACTCTGCTTTTTATAGGTCTTGTCACTGAAGTAGAGGCAGCTGAGTCTCATCAGTGCTGCCTCCATGAGAGATGCCTCTTCGGTCGGGTTCGGCTCCACAGATGCCTCTCGAATGCCTCGGGCTGCCCCTGGCTTCAATGCACAAGCGGAATCGGCAAACGTCCCCGCCACCTGCGCCCGGACGCTGCGAGCAACCTCCTCGAACCTCTGGGCTTCCCGCTGCTGCCGCGCTTCTTCTTCTGCTTTGGCCTGTAGCTGAACACGCCCAAGACCTTGCAAAAGAGCGGGGCATCGAGCAGCGGGATCGGATGGAAGTACTGTCGTGACTGCGTGTCCGAGGGGCGACTCCGGTGATGCACAAAGCTGCAAGAACACACAGGCCCACGATCAGCCACCGCCAGTGGCCTTCCCACACACCCCTAGCGGCCCTAGCACCACAACTTCGGATCTAATCGCATGCTGCTTAACTTCTTTTTCGGTCCCTCCGGCCTGAGTCCTCTGTGATCACCTCCTGTTCAACCAAACCCTCGCGACCCAATTGAGCAGACCTGCAACCGTGACACTGCGAGGTGCCAAACATCTCCAAAGAACTCGAATGCTTGCAACCGCCGAGTGCCGGACATCTCATTCCCAAATTCCTCTTCCGACTGCATGCCGGCACCTCATTCACTAGGAGCCTTGCACGTGGTGTCTGGTGTCTTTGCAACCCACGATCTAGATTCTAGACCGATTCTGAACGATGCTATACAACCTATTGGTCAATTTTGAACTGCAGCTGGGCATCCGATGTTCCGGGCAGGTTGCGGCAAGCTACCACGCAGGACGACACTCCTTAGTGCCGACTGACCGAAGGCTTTTTCGACCGAGCATTGAGACACCAACGGCCCCGTTCGACAAGACGAGACTCGCTGCAGCCGCTCCGACCTTCCTCACCTCCTGACAAGGTTCACACATTGAGACTGCAGTGCGAGACCCCGAACAACAAGGTCCCCTCCTCCTTCGAAAGCCCCGCATCGCCGGCTGCCCTCTCGGCAGCAGCCCCAGCAGCTGCTGCCTGTTCTGGTATGCCTGGCTGCTTTTAAGACGATTGTATGCTCTGTGCCTTTCCGTAGCTTTGAACGCGAGAGGTTTTCTCTGTCACAGCCTTGGCGGTTGCCCTCGAGGCTTGCCCACGCGGCAGCCTGCAGCTCTGATTTTGCTATCCTCGCATTACCTGCGCCGCTCACCAGCCTCCGCACGTTCAAAAGGAGTAGCAGCTGCAGCTTGCTCGGCTTTTTCTGCCAGGTGACCCTGAGCACCACACGGGAGATGCTGCGCTGCACAACACCGGTCATTTGGCGCCACATTTTCCTTCCCGTCTTGTTCTGGTTTGGCCTAAGCCCAGCGCCCTCTGGTCCCGGCTAGTCGAAGTTTCTCGGACTTGCACAGTTAGAGCCGACGCATGAAAGGTGGGGAGGTTTCATTTTGTCCATCTCGGCTCATGCCTCACAACGACGGGAGTTGCCCATGAAAAACACTTCCTTTATTGGGAGGCCACTGCCGAAGCTCTAACGGTCTAACCTGCCCAGACATCCCAGACATTTTCAACCTTGGCTTAAGCGATGCTCTCACTCCATCAACCCACATTCAACCACATTCCCTTTTGCTTTTTGTTTCTGAGGCCGGAGGCCCTCAGAGTCGCTCCGCCGATCTCCTCAGAGTCGCTCGCCACGGTGGCCGCAATGGCAGCCACGGCGGCGGCGTGGGTCTCCTGCGCTCTCTTGCGAAAATCTCTGACTCCACTCTGACTCCACGGCGCCTGGCCCGAAGTCCTCGTCGTGGGGCGGCATGGCGTGATCCACGGCAGTGGCGGCATCATCTACCAGCGTCTTCATCGACGCTCCTTACAGTAGTTGGGAACAGGCCAAGACTGACTAATCCACAAACAACTCCACACTTTGCTCGATCCTCGCCTGAGCCGTATTTGCCGCCTAGCCGCCCGCACTGCGAGCTTTTGCCACCACTCGTTCAGCATCGATCTCGGCCCTTTCCCATGCCGAGCTGTTTGCATCTGGCACGAATGCGGGTTTACAGAAGAGAAGGGAGAAGAGGACGGGAGGACAAACCGAAGCAATGCTACGAGCACAAGATGCTCTCTTCTTGCTTCTCCCGATTCAAAGCGCGCTGAAGCCGTCATCGTGAGAAGTGAAAACGGTTAAAGAAGTTTGCTGAGAACTTTGTCAGAAATGGCACCAGGTCCACCTTGAGCACAATCAATGCAAACTGTTGCAACAGCCGATCCGCGTGCTGGAGACGTTCTGCAGCCGGGGGGCTGGGCAACGAAGATGCCCGCGGCTCAGTGAAAGCCGCTGGTGCCGAAGGCTTCAAAGCTCCTCTAGTTCCTCCTTCCGCCACCTTTTCTGTTTGCTGGCCCTTCGCCGCACGGCGGGCCGCCACCTTCTCGCGCGTCCGAGCCTGCGGATGAGCTGCCGATCCATGTCCTCCGGAACTACGCATGCACGATGACGGCGAGCCTTCTCAACGCTCTCCAGGTAGTGGCTATTCTCTCTCTGAGCCTCAAAACATAGCACCGTCAGCACGTGAATTCGCGGAAACGTCTTCGCATTTCGTGTGCTAGTGGGCCTCGCTGCTTCTCTGTACCCGTGCTTGCCCATCGTCAAGGCATGAGTGAGTTTGTCGAGCAATGGTGACAAGCACGAGACGGTGGGAACAGGTTGTGAACAGTGGGTTCGGCATGTAGCCCTGAAGAATCAGCTGTGCCCCTGCTGGTTGAACAGCCCAAGGTATACCATCATTCGATCAACACCACTCATACTGAACCTCTGAATGCTCAGCATCGATGGGTGCTGGTTAAACAACACCTGGTGACTCGGGAGTGCAGACACAATGACTGATTTTCGGGTTTTGTAGGTGGGAAGCCCAAGTGACTGGACGCAGTCTCCATATCCTTACATGGAGAAACAGCAAGAGAAGACGCACTGGCAGCGGGTTCCGAAGCAGTATAGTACTGAAGCCTTGAGGACTCTTGCGTCAAAGACACATTCCGAAACATACAGTATCACGGAAGTTGGCAAGCTTGCAAGGCGCACACACCATGTAACGGGAACAGGCATATCATATCACTTATCACTATAAGAACGCAAGAAGCCAGACTCCGTTGCGGCAAGCGGGGTCCGGTCCCGGGCTACTCACCGAAAGCACCGAGAGAGCCGGAGCGCTCCTCCCGAATGGCCTCCGAAAGCCCGAAACTCCGAAAGCCCGAAATCCTTACGGCGAGGCCTGGCTCATCCGTTGCTGCAGCCGCGCCTTTCGCACCTGCCTCACTACCAGCCACGGCAGAATCAATGAGATTCTTTCACGGAATTGACAAAGACTTCGCGCCCAGTCCACTAAGGTAATTCCTGGGAACCTACGGTCAGGAAGACACGCTGCCTTCTTCCTCTTCTATCGGGCTTGGCCATGTGGCCCAGCGGGAAAACACCCATCGAAGGCCCGTCTCGGCTTGCAGTCAAGAGTCTGGTTGTAAATTGTGCCTTCTTTAAGCATGTGCCACTTGAAGCCCGGCAAATAGCCTTCGTCACAGGGAAGCGTGTGCTTGCTGTTGTTGTCCAGTACTGTCCACCGCATGACCGTTCATCTTCTGCAACCCCGCTGCGAAGATTCCACATATCGTCTCTGAAGAAGTTGTGGCGCTTCTTCCTGCGACGCGTGAGAAGACTTGCTGCCACCTGCAGACTTCACCAGGTCAGGACACCCGCCGATTGTGGTCGCGTTGAGGCTTTCAGCGACTCGGCGAGCAACTCGGCGATCCATAAACCTTGAACCGCTCAAGAAGGAGGCACATGGTGGCCCTGCGACCGAATGAGTGACTGCTCAGACACTGCTTGTCAGAAAAGAACTTCATCTGCCAGGCAACTCCACCCAGCCTTCTGTGTAGCGGAGCTTGCGGCTACCACCAGCACGTTTCCTGCTCCTCGTGAGGTCCGAGAGCTGGCCAAAACTCACAATCCTGCTTTCAATCGCATTCAAATCCGAGGAGCTGTTGCCGGAATTTTTCCTCGCGGCAGAGACCAAACCGGGAGGTTGCGATCATGCGCACAGTGCAACACCGCAATTCAGGAAAAGTCCTCAGGAGCAAGATACACGCGGCCAATGTCGCCAAACTGTTCCATCATGTGGCGCAGCTTTTGGATGCCCATGCACAGAGGTATAGAGGCCAGGTGCACGACTCCCTTCCTTGCAAAGCACGGAGTGGCGCTCTGTGTCGGCACAGGCTTTTGGATTGCATCACTTTGGGCCGGCCTGTCCACCTGTGGCTGTAGATCGTCCGGTGCCGCCAGCTCCGGAGAAGGCTTTGGTGGATCAGGCGCGGCCTCCACGGCCTTCGCACCGACTCGACGTTTCTTTCGCCTCGCCTCAGGACTGTCAATTTCACCAGTGCACGCTGACCAAAGAAGCCGCTGCCACAACGAGGTTTTGTTAAGAGGAAAACTGGCATCGAGGGCTTCTCCGTGCTCGCATCCGCACCTCCTGCCTCCACCTTGGAACGAGCAGCTACTTGCAGAAACAGCCCTGTGATGCTCCAAGTCTGCACGTGTCTGAGACGTGGACGCTTGCGGCATTCCTACGCTTCCGCTTCAGCAGCTTCTTCGGCATGTTCAGGAGCCGACCCAAAGACAGAAGATCGTGGATTCTGTAGTTTTTTTGGTTGTGTGCATTGACTGCAACAGAAGATGTAGAGCCGTTGAGAGACTACGGGATTGACTGCGTCTTCGATATGTCTGTGTTCACGGAATAGCTGCGGTAAGACAGCATGTGCGATTCCTGCTCCATCCTTGCTATGTGCTAGCTACGGTATGCTGCATGAACGGATGCTGCATAACGCAGTGCTGCCTCTCGGGGGCTGAAAAAAGTCCGCCGCACGCTGCTCCGCTGTCGGAGCCGTGGCTTTTCGCAGGTCAACGCCGAAAGCCTGTCATGCGTACAATGCGTACGATCCTGGGATCGGTTCGGGCAGCACGGGCCACACAAGCCGGACCTGATTGAAGCCATCGCAAAGCCACGCAAGGTTCGTGACGGCCACGCTTGGCACACCGCTGTGCGCAAGGGCATTTGCACCCGAGGCCGTAAGGTTCGTGGCCTCGGCAAATCCGAAAAGAGACTGGGGCAGTATCTTCGGAGGCCCCGCTTGGGTATCGACCATCAAGTTCTCTGCATCCTCTGCCAGCTTGGCCACGTCTTCTTCGGAGAGCGAGCTACCTACCCAGGCCACTCGTCTTCCCAGCCCTGCCATTACAAACACACGCTGAGGAACAGGCGGCTTCCCTGCTTCTGCACGGCAGATTTCGCCACGAACTGCTGCTGCCGCAGATTTTCCTGCGCTGCCTCCACGGCATCTCGAGGACATGGGGATTCTTGGAGCAGCAAGGCGCATGCCCTGGCTCACTTTACGTCACTCAAAGAACGAAGGTGCGATAGCCAGCCTTGGCATTCACCGCAGCTGTGAGCCCAGCAATCTGGATTTGCAAGGCCTGACGCGACAGCATCGAACGGGGGAGAGGGCCCGAAAACCCGGCGAAAGAGCCTGCTGCTCCGGCGGCTTCAGACCTGCAGCTATCGCCCCTTTCAGTGCTGTTTGCGTCGCCACCTGCCCAGACTAGACACAATTCCGGCACCCGCTTTCTCTCAGATCATGCTCAAACTTTACAACTTTACAACTTGCTGAGGAACCACAGCGATGCGCTGCGCCTCCACTGCTGCGTCGCGTCCTGCTACCTCTTCTCCGGTACCACATGCGAACGCCGAAGCTAAGGCGTACAGCACGACCTTGCCGGACAATCAGGCGATTGATGCGAGTGGGTCAGAGAGAGAGAGAGAGAGAGAAGTCGCAAAGAGCTATGAAACGAGGATGGACGAGTCGGGCATTCGACAAGTCGACAAGTAGGCAGAATCAAGTGATGACAGACTTGAATTCATGGATACCATACATGGAGTCAGTGAAGGAACAGAAGTCGAGCTCCCCACCTGGTCCTGTCTGCGCATCTCCCTGGCTGCAAGGCTTGCTGCAGAGGCAGCTTCGTCTGCTTGAGCAGACAAGTCCTGGCATGTCTCCATGCAGCAGGGCACATGGACCCTGAGTGCTTCCACTGAATATGGCTCTCCATCGTGCGGCACAGACGATTCAGATGCTCCTTTTACTGCCATCCGGCTCAGGAAGGCCTAGCAGGCCTAGCAATGCCAAGCATCTGCAAGCTCTCCACCTGCATGTTGGCGTACAGCAAGCAAAAGATTACAAAAGTATCGGGGATGCAGGCCCAGGTTCGACCTGCGAGCTACTGTCCAGCGGCACAGTTCTATGCCCAACACGACATGCACGCCTTCGGTGGCCGGAGCACACATACACACAAGCAGACCGTCAGACTTCAGCTGACGAATTCAAGTTGGCCGTCGCTCACCGAGAACTCTGCCTCGGCTCGTATGTCTCGGCTTGACGACCCTATGTAAATCTTAAACGTTCCCTCAGGGATGTGCCACTGGTCCTCCTCTGACCACACAGAGATGTCCGGTGCTCTCAGCTCGAGGTTCACGACTGTCGAGCTTCCGGCATTCAGATGTACCTTCTGGAAACCACGAAGTAGCTTCTGCGGCTCCCCCAAGCCGTCCGGAAAGCCTAAATACATCTGCACCACCTCCGTACCTTTCCTTGCACCAGAGTTCAGAATTTTCACTTGTGCACATGCCAAACTCTCTTGGTCTGGAGGTCCCGGGGGTCTAGGTCGCCCCGGGCGTGAGGGTGTTGCACCCGGTTTTCCTCCCGGTCGACCGCCGGGCGGCCGGAGCCCAGGGTGTTGAGGGCCACTGGGCCTTGATGGCGGTCCCACTTCGGTTTCGCAGAAGGATCCGAGCGATGTAAGTTCGTGGTCGAACTTCGTGTATGACAAGCCATGCCCAAACGGGAAAGCAACTTCCTTGTCCTCATACCATGGGAAGCCGGCAAAGAGACCCTCCGTGTACTCGCACATGGGATCCTCACAAGGCTGGATGGCATCTTCCTCTTTGAGTGGGAAAGTGACTGGCAATTTGCCCCCCGGGGTGACTCTGCCATCGAGCACGTCCAGTAAGCCTGTACCAGTTGCCTCGCCTGCCAGGAACATGGCCACTGCAGCATCCACATGCTCGATCCAGGGAAGCACGATTGCTCCAGGAATGATACTGATGGAGAGCTTCCGCACTCCACTCAGCTGCGTGCTAACGTTCACGACATAATCTTCCTGATCGACGGACAAGCTGGAACGATCGTAACCCTCAGAAGATGTAGTGGCCGAGCAGATCACGGCCAAGTCAGCATCCGCCGCAATGTTCAAGGCATCTTGCACTGTGTCATTTAGTTCAGACACTACTTCGCACCCCGAGACGATGCAGTATGCTTCGACGGCTCTGAGAATTGATAGCGGGTTGTTCGGAACTATACGACCCGAGCCACCAAAGGTGTAGTAGTTCGGCATGTCCCACTGTTTCAGCAGCGCTTCCACATCATTTGGAGGATCGCAAGCTGAACCCAAGAGCGCAATCTTCTTGATGTCTCGGGTGAAGGGCAGCACATCACCATCGTTTTTGAGCAAGATGACCGAGTCAGCCACCATCCGCCGAGCAAGCTGCTGATGCTTCGGGCTAGTGGCCACAACATCGAACTGCTCCTCCAAGCAGCCGCCTCCCTCAGGCTGGCACACGGGGTGCTCCAAGAGCCCGTAGCGGACCATGCCTGTTAGGATTCGTGTCGCCATATCCTGAACCTTCTCGTCGGAAAGCGTGTCTAAGTTCTCGGGCGTAAAGAAGACTTGCCAGTCTGGCTTCAGCGAGATGCAGTTTCCAGGCATCTCTTGGTCCAAACCATCCATAGCCGAGAAGTTGTGGGTAGCCTGAGGCTCGGTAAGACGAAAGTAGACACTTGGTTTTCTGCTGCAGGCTATTGTGTGTACTTAAGGGACGAGGCGCCCACCAGTCACTCATGACCCAGCCCTTGTACTGCATGTTGGTCTTAAGATGGCCTTCCAGAGTCTCCGGATTTCCACAAGCGTGCTTCCCGTTCACAAGGTTGTAGGCACACATGGTCGCAAGGCAACCGGCATCGATGGCCCCCTGAAACGGAGGGTAATACGTTTCGAAGAGAGTGCGGTTGTCCACCTGGGCATCCACATCCGAACGGATCGTCTCCTGATGGTTGGCAATGAAATGCTTCATGACAGTCAAGACGTGCTGCGAGTGCACACCCTCGACATAGCCAGGGACAAGCTGTGCTCCCAAATAGCCCGACTCCCCGGACAAATACTCTATGTTGCGGCCGTTGCGGGCAACCCGGTGTACGTTGAGCCCCGGCCCGAGCAAGACATTCGCACCTTTAAGAAAAAACTCTCGTCCCAAGGCTTCGCCCCAAGCTCTTCCAAGGTGTCGATCCCAAGTCGCAGCCACTCCCAGCGTGGATGGCCAGGCGGTCACCTGCGGGACTTGTCGAGGCTCGAAAGTTCGGTAGCCTTGCCCGTTGTCTTGGAGATTCAGCGAAGGGATGCCCTTACTGGGAACTGGGTCCGTGTTCCCAACGAAGAAGCCGTGGGGTGGATTCCAGGTCCAGTCCGGATATCCCACGCCTTTCACCAGGCCATAGATCTCCGTCCGATTCAGCTCCTTTGCTAGGGCCGAGGCCCTCTTCACCGCTGCCTCCATCGCCATGAAGCGGCCGGCTCCGCCGGCTCCTCCGCCAGCTAGCGCAAGGCTGGCAAGCCATGGCCAAACTGCGAAGGCCCTCAGGCATCGGCACCCGTGCCACATCCCTGCAAACTGCCCGGAAGCCCGGGACTATAAGGCCACTGCTTGAGCAGATGTACAGAGGCCCGCTGTCTGCAGGTCACACGCTCTCTGCCTGCAGCACTACTGCATGTTAAGTATCTTAAGTCCTTGCCCGACGCACGAGCGCGGCGTGCCGCAAGGGCAGAGCCAGCAGCGGCCGCCTGCACCCGCTGCTGCAGGGCCGGCAGACTGGCCCTCCTGGCACATTAAAACACTTAGAAAACACACAAAGAGCCTTCAGAAAGTGGCTGGTCCTGGCAACCGCCACGGCCTCGGCGGCCACGGCCAGCACCTGCCACCATGGCCTTTTTGGTCTGCCCCCTGGTCTTGATGTGAAAAGCTTGCTCGCCTGTCCGTCTGCATCCGGCTTCTTGGCGTCGAGGGCTGCTTCCGCATGCTGTGCTGCAAACTGGCTGGCCTGGAGATGCCAGTGTCCATAGTATCTGCACACATTCAAAGCGCAGAGTCCTCTCCTTGCACCTTCATGCTCACCCATCGCATGATGCCCCCTCCAGACTGTTGCCGACCCCCCCACATCTGTTCTCAGTGAGCAAAGCTGGAAATCCAAGTCTGCCGGTCTGGGAGGGGTTGACCGGACAGTCTTGCTTCAGTACTCCGGTCTTCTCTGCCCCTCTGAAAGTGAGTGTGTGTGTGTGTGGGTGGACTTCTCTCGAACATGAGATAAGGGGCTCACAACCCTCTTTTTCTGATCTGTCAGTGCAGCTTGCTGATTCACATTATCAACATTTCGAGGAAACCTTGTTTTGCAGCGGGCGGGAGCATGGATTGCTGGACTCCCGCTAACAAAGACGCCAGCTTTCCATGGTGATGTGTTCCGGGATGCCGGAACATGTACCTGCAAGTGATCGTTGTAGACACCCTGTATGCAAGCTGTGTATGGTGCATCCTCGCTGTTGGTTTCTATTTCCATGACAGTTCCACAGTGCTTCAGCTGACATGTACTGTTGCAGCAATCTGACTT